AATTTGCTGACCTCAGAAGGATGGAAGGCTGAGTCAAACTCGAGCCAGACACCTGAGTCTGGGATCAAACTCAGGTCATGAACAGAGTCTTCTCTGCAATACTGCAATTTAACTATTATGCCACAAAGAGATAAGCGTTGACTAGACCTCAATTTCAAAACTAAATGCAACAATGCAAAAACTTTAGTATTTGCACAGTGCTCTGTCTGCAAGACTTAATTCCAAATGTTGTTGAACTCTGTAGAATGCTCATATCTCCAAAAAAATATTTTATTTTAAGTAGACAAAGATACTGTAATGAACCAATTCCTTTGAAGTATAAAAGGTTTGGTACCGATTCCACATACAGATTTGACCCTTTCCATAAGCCTTTAGAATTTTTGTGATGGTGGAAATATTTCATTGGACATTTGTAGAAATAAGCAGTGTATTACAAGCATTACTTAAGGGGCCAGCTTGTAACAATTAATTTGTGACTTGAAACAAAGATGAGCAACTTATGATCTAGAAACTGTGAGTCAGCTTACAGTTCTGGCAGTCTCATAGGCAGGTGCAAATCTTGATTATCTTACTTCGCTACTGTGGGGGAAGAACCTACTCAATAACCAAGCATCTTAAATTAGAAACCAAACCGTTTTTAGAACCCTGCTGATGCGTGAGTAACTTAAAATGGGCAATTCACCACTTAGCTAAGACACACAGAAATCAACCAATCATTTTGGCCAATGAGAAACAAAGTTGTCATCTACTGCAGTGGTTTCCAACATTGGGTAACCCAGGTGTTCCTGAACCACAGCTCCCAGAAACCTCAGCCAGCATAGCTGGTGGTGAAGGCTTCTGGGAATTCCAGTCCAAGAACACCTGAGTTACCCAAGGTTGGGAACTACTAATCTAATGTGATCATTTATTGCGTTTCTAATAGATCAAAGAACGTACATCTTCACAATGACAGACGAAAGGACTGCATCTGCAAACAGTGGAATAAGTAGTGGTGATGGCAATCACTTTAGGCAGCTTTCAAAGGCACTAGACAAATTCATGGAAGATGGAGCTATCAATGGCTACTTGTCATTCTGGATTTATATATTCTATTCAAAAGCAAGGCAATGTGCCTCTGGAAATCAATTGTTAAGGATCACAAGTAAAGCAGGGTTACATTTACTCTCTTTCTAGGCTTCCCATTGGCAATTGGTATAAGAACAGAATATCTGCTATAAGAACAGAATACATGGCTACATGATAGGACTTTGATCTGATCCAACATGTTTTTCTTATGTATAATAATCTTAGAACTGCAGAGCTGGAAGAGATTCTATGACTCATCGAGTTCAGCCTTTGTCAGGGTGATACAGTGGAGAATCGAACACCCAACCTCTTGCTCCGCAGCCAGCTACCTAAACCACTGAGCTAATCAATGAGCAAAATCTTAGAACTGCAGAGTTTGAAGGGATCCTATGGATTTCAGCCCCTGCCAGGGAGGCACAATGAACTTCCATCTGCTGGCTCTGCAGCCAGATAGCTAAACAGTTATCCTTATTCACTGTAATTATCAATGAGACATGTGAAATAGAAATGTACATAGATTTTGTTGTTTTTGTATGTATGTATGTGTGAGATTCTCAGTCTGAATGCAATATCTGCCAGTCCTCTATATGCATTACAACAGAGCCAGAAGAGTAAGAAAATATGTACTTATTAGCCTTCTGCCAGCTAAGAGAAGCTTCAAACCCAATCTCTTGCCTCCCTTTAATATACAGTACACAATGATTACTGTTATTCAGAAGCACAAAACATTGCATTATGAAACAGTATCATGTACCACCAGTAAGAAAGTTACCTTAAGAAGACTGAGGAGCTGACAGAACAAATCTTGTTATTAGCATACACACCCAAAGCAGAAATGAATGCTTTTGTGATGGATAACTATTATATTGTAGCTTTTAGGAACTTGACTGAGCTGATCTTAGATCTAAAAAAGTTTTCCCCTGAAAACACTTTAGCGTTTCCATCGAATGCATTCTGTTTTAGCCTTTGTGATAGCTCAGCATTTAGTTTTATCAAGTTTAAAGGATGATACATCCATCTGTATCATCCTTATACTTTCTATCATCCTATTGCGGCCAACCCTCTTTATTAGGTTTAAGACACCAGAACAAGCAACCAGGAAAAATGACAATAAAAACAGGGCGGTTGCAATTCTCAGTGAAAGAACCATGGGGAGGTTGAGACAGAGAAACACACTTCTGAATAGTGAGGCAGCAAAGCGGCCATGACTGAGGTGACAGGAGGCAGCAATCCTTCTGGTGGCATCATCTTTTCAAGAGATTGGCAATCCTCTGAGATCCTGTGTAGAACAAAGAGAATCTGATTGCCTCTGCGGGCTTTGTTTTCAGTGAGGAAAAGAGATTTAAAGGGGAGGCAAGGAAGGTGGTGCCATAACCCGGGGCTTTGTGCCCTGCTACGTTGAAGTTTGCTCCTTTTGGGCTCCTTTAAAGCAACGGTCCCCAAACTTTTTGAAACCTTGGATTGGTTGGGGAAGTGGGGACCATGTGCGCGGGGGGGGCAGGGGCACCCCCATCCTTGTAGGCAGGTGTGGCATGTTTGCGGCAGGGCATGGCATGCTCACACACATGCACGGATGAGCATGGTGTGCTCGCAGGTGAGTGGGGTGCACACGCCATGCCCATCTGTGCATGCACACTATTGCGCCACTCCCACCATGTGTGCATGCGGGGGGCGCAGGAGAGCTGTCTCTGCGCCCCAGTTCTGCGAAGCCACGGGCCAGCACCAGGCCGTGGACTGGGCGTTGGGGACCCCTGCTTTAAAGCAGGGGTCCCCAACCTTGGGTCTCTATATGTTCTTGGACTTCAACTCCCAGAAATCCTGGCCAACGGAGGTGGTGGTGAAGGCTTATGGGAGTTGTAGTCCAAGAACATCTGGAGGCCCAAGGTTGGGGACCACTGCTTTAAAGGACTAAGGAGACTCAGCCTGCAATGCCTTCCTCACCTCACCTCACCTCACTCCATCCCATATGCAGGCCTCTACTCTACTGGGCTGATACCAGGAGACCTACAACTTCAGAAGACCACACAGTTTCGCTTCTGCTCTGACTCAGTTTCAATCAGTTGTCTGTGGTGACAAAGGAAAGGTGTGTGCTAATTCTGGCATGAGCTCCCTCATCAGCCTCAGTTTTCTTCATCCTGTTGGGCAATGTAGTTAACTGAATGTTTGGATGAAGAAGAAAGAGCAGTGGGGTAAGGTGTCTGGATCAAGCCAATCCATCAAGAGCACAGAACAGGATACACTTTCATAAACTATGAGTACATGGAATGGCATCTGGATTAGACCCACTGAAATGAATGGGATTTGTTAGTCAATGCTAAGATTATGTCCCACTAATTTAAGTGGTTTACTCCAATTAGAACAAAGATTGGATTTCACCCATGCAATATGTACAGTATTACAACGATCAGCCTAAAACAGCTCAGATGTTACTCCTGGTGGTTGAGCAATTACTCCTTAAGTTATTAAAACGAACAAAAAGAAAGCCTTAGAATAGATGACAAATATTCTTAGTTTGATTTTGTGCCCTTCATGTATTGCCACTCCAGTGTGATACGAAGCCCACACAGCCACAATTTGAGAAAATGAATGAAGTTAGCATGTGGATATGACAGATTAGACCTCCAACAAGCTTCCTCATTCCCATTCTTCTCGGCCTTCTCCCCAAGTCTCTTCCTTCTCCTCTATTACCAGGTTGGGTGACTCCTTTCCTTCCCCTTCTGTTTACAACTTCCCCACTTCCTCCAATGCTTCCCTTATAACCCTTAGGTCCCATTCCCCTTTGATCTATCTCCCTCCTGCAGAGGCCATTGGGTTAGGACCAGGCCAGCTGCAATCCCCTGTGTTTTGAATTGTACCATCCTTCACATGGGCACAGGCTCTGGAGTCTCCTCCTTTGCCTCCCATGTGTCAGCCTTTATCTGAGTTGCCCGACCCTGCCATCTAGGCTTGTCTTGCATAATTTCTTCTAAAAGGATGGGTACAGCACCCTTTTAGGTTCCTGGGCCAGGGCTAGATGGCCCACCAAAGGTATCCCCGCCAACCTCCTCACACTCATGCAATTGAAACCTGGCACCAATTAAATGAGACAGCCTCAATGTGCCCTTCCCTTGAAAAATCAGTCACAGAAAAGTAGTTTCAGGGAGCTGGGTGTTAAACAAGCCTGAAGGACAGACCAGGTTAGGACTATTCAGTTTTTGAAAAGAAGAGAAGCACATGCAGTGATACTTTTGCTTGTTCAGTTCCAGTGATGTTAATATAAAGATAGGCAATGTATAGCTCCCCCCTGTCATCCATGGTTCTCCTCAATGTCTTTACAATTCACCCCGCCTCCCCAGTTTTGATTATGCCTTCAAGGGGCAAGGGGGCAATTGTTTTAAAAAAATGTGGCCTTTAAATTATGGTCCTTTTCAATAAGGGTTTCTAGAACTTCACCCCCCCACCCCCGTTTTTCCAACTCTCAAAAACATATTTTTAAGCTCTCAAGTGACCCAGTCCAGTCAAAGTGACACAAAACTTTATGCAACTCTCAGTTGACTTTGGAATGTAAATTAGTACAGTATTAGGAACCAGATCCTTCACAAGATCTTCACTGTCTAAGCCCATGAGATCTCAGACTTCACACTGAAAAAAAAAGCTGTACAGTACATGCTGGCAATCACCATTTGTGCCTATTGTACAAGCAAGTTTCTGTGGTTATATTTGTGACAGCAATAATCTGGACAGAAAGGGTACAGGGAAAGCAGTGGAAGATCACCATTTTCTTCATGTATCTAATTGTGTAGTTAAAGTTCCCGTTATCTTGCACACATAACTGCACCAAGTTCCAAGATTTCATGATTTCACTCAAATTAGGAAGTCAAATGCAGTTTACTTGGCACTATACCACATGGTAAAGAATAAAACTCGAGAGAAAGTTTTCAAATAAAAACAGCAGCTTTCAGTGAAATGATAAATATTTTATTAGTTCTTAAACTGCTATCAAAAGTAGTATATTGATCTTGACATGATTTTAAAAAGACACACTGACACTGTTCAGCAATCAACATTTAGCAAGCAAGGAGATGTACCTTGCAGGTGATTCAAATTTGTTACAAGAGGAACTGAGTAAGACCCACCAGAGACTCTGCAGACTATGAAACAGACTGTGATGATACATAAAATATTACACAGAATGAATTCCACTATATTGTTTGGCAACTAATTTTATATGGCCAGCTTCAAATAATAAAAATGTAACAGATTTCAACTGTTTGCTTTCTCCTATTTATATGTATACATACATACAAGTTCTGAAGTAAAACTTTAATTCAAACTGTCTGGAACTTCTTCCATATCTAACTTTCATACAGAAGTCAGCTGTTTGAAATTTTAAGTAAAGGAGGTAGTAAAAGATACTCCAGATACATACACCTAACGATAAATACCAGGACCCAGACATTTGGAAACGACATATACAGACATACTGCTGTACTTGAAGTCAGATAAATTAAGTCAAGTTTATTAAAGTTAGTAACATTCCTCTGTTTTTATCATTTTCAACTTAGTGCAAAACAGATGCCTCTTCATCTAAAGCAAGAGAAATGATGGACCTTTAGAACACCAACATGTCCTCAGTCGTCATCACTGTCACTTCCAGTCTCACTCAGCTGAAGATCATTTCCTAAAATTAAACAGAAGCACACATGAATTCTGCAAACATTTTTCTCCATAAAAAGGGGGATCTTTCTTTTTTCAAACATGAGAATGCTAGAATCAGACAAAAGTCAGGGAGAAGTTAAGAGCTAAACATACATGGAATCTTACAAGCTTCCTTAACTAGAAAAATGCTTGCTGGAGGCTATTTTGTTTGTTGTTGTTTTAATCCATTCTGAACATCATACAGTGGTGCCTCGCTTAACGACGATAATCTGTTCCAGGAATATTGCCGTTAAGCGAAAACATCGTAAAGCGAAAATAAAAACCCCATTGAAACGCATTGAAACCTGTTCAATGCATTCCAATGGGGCAAATACTCACCGTCCAGCGAAGATCCTCTACATGGCGGTCATTTTCGTTGCCTGTATAGCGAGGAATGCATCCTAAACACATCGGGGAGCCATTTTAATCACCTGGTGGCCATTATGAAACCGCTGATCACCTGTTTGAAAAACGTCGTTTTGCGAAGAATCGGTTCCCGAAGCAGGGAACTGATCATCGCAAAGCAAAATTCCCCCATTCAGACCATCGTTTTGCGATCGCAATTGTGATCGCAAAAAGATCGTCGTCAAGCGGTTCCGGCGTAATGTCGGGCAATCGTAAAGCAAGGCATCACTGTAGTCTGAATCTAGCTGAGATGTGAACCTATTTCTGTATATATGGGATGTTTAGGTTCCACATTGTGCACTTTACACAGAAGAGGCCATGTATCTTTCAACACTACCTAATCTTCCTTTTTAGAATTCTGTGTTTTCTTTTTAAGTGACAAGTTTTAAGCAGTTTTTTCATTGCAAGAAGTCGAGCTGAACAGCAATTTTTTTAAAATGCAAAAATTTAAGCTGAATGGCACTTATATAGAGGACACCAAGTTTAGCAAGAGGAGAGTGTGAGTCACAGACAGCAATATAATAAAGTACATAGTGGGCTATCGGTAGAGGAATAACAGGCCCTTTTAACATTTCATGACCTCAATACTTGTTGCAACATCTCTCCCAGAAACAGCTACTCATTTCACATGTTCCTCCGAATCCACATGGCTTAAGGTGGCCGCACTGAGAGAGGCAACAGCACTTAGAGAGGCAAAAAAGTTACCAACAAGGAACTTGGCTTTCTCAGTGGTAGCTCCTATTCTGTGAAACAAGCATCCAATGTAGGCTTTATCCCACCTGATATTTAGAAACCTAGTGAAGACAGAACTCTATAAAGCAGCCTTTAAGAACGTATCTCCAGATGTTAATATTAATTTTTAATTTTAGGTTTCCTTTTTACTATTATGTTCAAGTTGGTGTACTGCCATGTTGGTTATTACATGGGGTGATGGCAGTGGCTTTTATGTCTTATTCTGTAAACTGCTCAGAATAGTGGATGTTCACTAATGGGATGGTGTACAAACCAAATAAATTAATAAATACAGATACATCTATATTTTTCAGATGCTTTTACACAATGAAAGCAACTCTTAATTATCACCTTAACCATTTTAACCATCAGTTTGACTGCACTATGGAAAATTCTTTCCATACTGTCTTTTCTAAATCATTGCAAGTTGCCTGCACGCCCATGCATAACAGTTTTAAACTACTATTTTAAATGGACATGCCCTTTTTTCCCTCCTCCATTATTTCTGCCCTACATATCTATGTTAAATATAAATTAAGCAACATTTGCAGGCTACAACACTGCACATACACGCAGCCCAGCATTAAAAAGATGTGATCTTGTGCAACGCCTATTAATTTTGATGACTGTTGCAAAAAAAAAAGGAGTTCCCCTATTAAATGTTTCACATGGTGATTTATGGCAGCAGACCAATCACAAGGACTAATAGCAAGGCACAATTTAAAAAAACCCAAAACTAGACTTTAAAGACATTTTCAGGCAGAAGTGATTTACAGTGCTTCTGTTAACCAGCTTTTATTTATACCCTGGCACCAGTATGTGGTAGCTCAATAAATATTTTAAGGTATTCCTTTGCAGTAGAAATCTGGTCTTCCTGTCAAGTATAAGTGGATGTATATGCAAAACTGAATAAAGACAGACATGTAATTATAAAATGCTAGAATACTTAATGCTAAAAATACAGAGCTTCTTTTTACTTCTCATGTTATTTGCCATTTTTTCCTATGCAACAATTCTAGAGTCAATGCAAGAATAGCTTTATTGCCACCTTAGAGCAAAACACAAAGGCCAGCATCCTGTTTGAACAACTCATGTGTGTAATGGTGATCCTGTAAATTGTTCCCCTTCACTGGGTATTGGTTGTAAGCACAATGATGGGTTGCCCAATGAAGGCCCCCCCCCACTTACATTATTACTATTGCATGCAGTTTTCCCCAATGAGATGCTTTCCAAGGAGTCATGCAACAATATACTGCACCCACAGTTTGAGATGTACTGTCTAGCAAAGAACTGGGTATGTATGCAATATAACTGCCAAATAAATCCAAGTCCAGTCTTAGAACTACAGTATACTACTGCAGAGGCAACCCTTCAATGCATTTAAGACTGATGTTCATCACGCTTACCAGATCGCAGTGACAAACCTGGGTTGTATTAAAGCATGTGCCTTGCCCAACCTATGTCCATAAGTTTTGGACCTTGGACTTCAAACTACCATCCTTCTTCTCTCTATAACATGACCCATGGTCAGATATTTGGGAGCTGTAGTCCAAAATCTGGAGAGCATGCTATTGGCTAAAGGCTGCTATACATAGTGTGCTTGTTACTGCAGTAAGCAGGGCCAGCCCGTTGAAAGATTAGACATTTTATTGCATTCAAAACCAGGATGTATTGCACTAAACACAGAGTAGTTCCTTTTGAGATGTTTCAGTCCTTCCAGAACAAATTACCAATTTAATCAGTGTCTACAAATCAAAAGGAGGCAACATCAGCTGTACTGTAAATGCCATAACCTTTAATTTAGCATCATCAGTCTTTAAGTGACTTTTATCCCAACATCTAACCCCAACCTCAGCGGTTCAAACCCTCTCAATCCAGACATGGTTTTAGTTTCTCTGGGAAGTTCTGAAAGCATGTGGTTTTCTTTCAGATTCTTTGAATCTGAGTGTAACATGATGTTTCACGTCCTGTACTTACGCAGAGTATTCATTAAGTGGCCACTGCTCTCTTGATGTCTATGATAGCCTGCACCAACGTCTGGGATGGCCTGTTCTGGCACTGACAGGGGAAAGGATGGCTTTGTCTCTTCATCTTCTGAATCACTGGAACTGTTTTCACTGCTGGATGATGATGAGGACTCAGATGAACTCTCAGAGCTACTCATCTGCTCTATTACTTTAGCTTCTGCTTGAAGCTCTGAAAATAAGATTTAAGTATAGAAAACATGGATTTGGGTTCAAGAGAACATTTGCCAGCTTGATTATAATTACTTTACATTTAATTTTGATAAACAACATGAACTGAGCAAAGTATATGAGAGTCAGCAGAAAGTAAAGTAGAGTTTTACGTCTGTCAGTGTGATCAAGTGGTTAGACTTAAGATTTAGACTGGATGCTCGATTCAGTTAAGACAAAACCAAGAAGCATCCTTAGAAACAAGCACTGGAAACTTCTAAAGTACGCTCAGTATGCTCCTAATTAAGTTTTTCCTCAATGTGAAAGAGTGCCCCTTGAAGAAGAACTGAGTTCAAAAGATATTGGGTTTAATAAAAACATCTTTAAATCCTCAGTGTTTCCGCAAACAAATCCCTCAGTCAGTGTTCACTGAAAGGTATCTGATTACTCACCCTCTGCTATGGACAGTAAAACACAAGAACTTGGTACAAAATAATAATTCAATGAACAATCAGTCTTCAGATTCTGGAACACAGAGGTTGTTCCCCCCTGGTGGGAATTAAACCACACAGCTCCAAAACAATAGCTTGAGTCGGAACACATTATCCTACCAACAGCTGAGTTAAGTACAATGACCAAGTACACAGCAGCAACTTTTGTCAGTACTCCCATTTGCAGTGACAAGGGCTTACTTAACCACATGACAGCAGATTTCTGCCATCAATCATGCTGGTCATGAATCAACTTTTCACACATCCTAAATACACATATTGTTCAAGCTGCAGCAGAAGCATGCAACACGCCCTTGTAGGATCAGGGTGCTCTGGGCAGCTTTCATTTAACTAGGTCAGAGTGGAGCAACATGTGGCCCACAGGCCACAAGGGTCAAAATTCATCCTCCCGCCCTGTAACATCATCATGTTCTATTATTTTTTTTTAAAGGTGGTCCTAATTGTCCTATTGTCCCTTCTGGTAGATATGTGGACTAATTCTTCAATGTTCTGAGGGGTTTCCATGCTCCCCACCCCTTTTTTTTAAGGCCACTGAATGAAGCCTAGCTTAGGCAGACCAGAAAGTATGGTGGCCACAGTTAGTTTTGTGGTTGTGCTCATAAGATAATATTGACTCTCAAGATTTGCTTTTGAAAACTCCTTACATTCTTTGCAGATACAGACAAATGAACTATAACAATGAGTCACTTTTTAAAAAGACAGAATGAGATTATAATTAATGTTCTGAAGATACACTGCAGGGGTGCTCTATCCCTAAAGCGAGATTCTGCCCCACTGATGTACAGAATGATTTTCATATTACTGTACATGTTAAACAAGTGGAGACGTACAATAAACTGCTACCATGGATCCCCCAAAGCCCCAAACCCAACATGCTAGTGCTACCTATGTATGTTGTGTTCCAGGTCTTGTGGTGCAAGTGTCACACCGCTCATGTTCAGTGTGCATGTCAGTGGCATTACGCTGTGTGGCTGTGGTAGCTTAGTGGAGTGAAAAGGAAAAAGGACACTTTTTACCTTTATCTGCTTTATTTAGGTGCACCTCATATCTTATAGATCTGAATGTGTTTTGGCCCCACTATCACAACTGTGCTACTTAGCACAACACCTCAGTGGTACTGTACTGCAGACCAGACCAGTGTTCTTCTATTTTGTTCTAAAAATATTTCTCTGCATACCTGGCATTTTGCCACAGCTACCCTCGATTCTGCTGCCCTACTTGTCAGTATAGACCACCATGTATTTTTCCGAAATATTTATACCCTGCCTTTCTCTTCAAGAGGTCCCAAGGCAGATTACCATGCTAAAAGAAACATTTAAAACTTTAAGAACAACTACAGCCCTGTTGTAAGGAACCATGTCTAAGCCAGTGAGTTACTGAGAAAAGCTTAGTTATAGAGTAAGCAATGTTCTCTTACATTTAAAAAATGTACAGTGGTGCCTCGCTTCATGACGTTAATTTGTTCCAGCAAAATCCCTGTAGAGCAAAAACGTCATAAAGCGAAAATTAAAAAACACATTGAAACGCATTAAAACCCGGTTAATATGTTCCAATGGGCTAAAAACTCACTGTCCAGCGAAGATCCTCCATACGGCAGCCATTTTCGGTGCCTGTATAGCGAGGAATCCGTCCTTAAGCACATCGGGGAGCCATTTTGAGCACTCCGCGGCCATTTTGAAAACCCAAAGACAGCTGTTTTGGTCGTCGTAATGCGAAGAATCAGTTCCCGAAGCAGGGAACCGATCTTCGCAAAGCAAGCATACAAAGCAAAAAAACCCCATTTAAAACATCGTTTTACGATCACAACTGCGATCACAAAAACATTGTCGTGAAGCGGATTTGTTGTAATGCTGGGTAATCATTAAGCAGGGCACAACTGTATAGGTCTTTTTCTCCACCTCCAGCTCACTGCCTTACAATATGAAGCAATGCAGTCCAGACAAGCTTACCGTCCCAGTGAAAACTGGAGTACCAATGCCAATCTCAAACCTTCAAATTAAAGAATAAGCTTAATCAACCTGCTAAATCAATTTACCTCTTTCTATATCATCCATAGGAAAAGGTGATGATATCTTCTCTTTTGGTGGAGAACATCTGGCACTGTTGGAAATCTTATTTGTGTTTCTCATTAGCTGTTGCTGCTGCTCAAGACGAGACTGAATCTTACTGCTTCCTTCACCTCTGCAACGAAGTTTTTAAAAAGTCATATCCGAGAATTTTCTAAGGTCATTTGTAAGGGGAAAAAAACGGAAATTTTACTTTCCATGACTTCTAACAAATGACAAGAGTAAGAAACATCTTTGGAGGCTTATCACTGAAAGCCCCAGGCAGAAGCTGCAATGGGTCGTGTCCCTCCTCCTCCTCCAGTTATGGAATTCTCTTCCCTGAGCAACCTTATGCCACCCTGGTTTTGGCAGTCAATGAAAAGACTTTAAGTGTTTCCAGGCTTTTAACATCTGTCGTACATTATTCACACTGCTGTGCATTTAGCTATATTGTCTATTTGCATCTGCTTCTAAATTGTTCTTTTTCTTTTATTGTTCTGCTCATTTCTTAACAGCTGCTTGTAAATTGTTCTTTTTCTTTTATTGTTCTGCTAATTTCTTAATAGCTGCTTGGATAGTTCAGTGGTTTCGGTATCTGGCTGTGGGGCCAGAAGCTGGGAGTCTGATTCCCCACTGTGCCTCCTTGGAGAAGAGCCAGTTTATGAGGCCTTGGACAAACTGCACAGTCCCATGATGTCCCCCAGAAGAAGGGAATGGAAAATCACTTCTACATCTATTATTGACCTGGAAACCCCCCGAAAAGAGTCACATAAATCAGAACTGACTTGACAGCAGACAATGCTTATTATTAATTTGTTAATATATTTAACAGTGTTACTGCTGCAAAGCAAGGAGAACGCTTCCTTCTTGGTGACGCACAAATATTTTAAGGAATATAAAATGTTAATAAAATGCACCAAAGCTCCTAAGAGAGGTCATGGTTGGCCCCATCCAAGATTTCCTTTGGTTAGGAAGCAAAGATCTATTTATTCAGGCAGGCCTTCGTCAATGAAGAATCTCAGATTTTACCTTATCTAATATGCTGATTTTCACTGTTTTACAGCTAATTAGTATAGTTTTTTAAATCAAATTATTGTGAAGTGTTTTAATTTTAATAGTATTTTACTAATAAAATCAAGTTTAATTCTGTGTTAATGGTTTTGACTGCATTGTGTTTATTCTATTATAACCTTCTGTTGTTTTAAACTCTTTTGTATGCCCTCTTGGGTCCCAATTCTGGAAGAATAGCAGCATATTAAACAAATAAATAATATTAGTCTGTACATGCTCTTGTGGAACATTCTACAAATACTGAAGAGAAAATATGGAACAACAGAATTTAATAATGTTGTTACAATGGGTCTAATTACTTAAAAGCAATTATTTGGATTTAAAAAAAGATTTAAATCTACTTATTTTGGATTTTGGAACTGCATGGCTTCTTAGCTGAAGTGCATTTTTAACATTTTTAGTTTGCCTTTTAAAAACGTGAATTGTTTTCCTATGCATTCATACTAGACAGCAATATTTCAACTCATTTTTCAGCAACTAAAAATAATCTGCTAAATACTATGCTAAAGCAAGTCACAGTTAGAATAGGTCATTTGAATCAATGGAATTTACAGAGCTGACTCACCAAATTTCCATTACAGTGGTGCCTTGACTTATGAACTTAATCCATATTGGAACGGTGGCCATAAGTCAAAACATTCATAAGTCAAAGCACAATTTCCCATAGGAATGCATTGAAAACCGATTAATCTGTTCCAGCCAAAGGAAAAAAAATACAAAAATAATCCGTTCCAGCCGAAGGAAAAAAAAATACAAAAATAAAATAAAATGAAACACTGCAAGTCCCATGCTGGGACTGCAAAACAAAAAACAAAAACAAAAACCAAACAAATCCAAAAATAAACATTGAATTTTCAGTCCCACGCTGGGACTGGAAAAAAAAACATAACCCCCCCCAGGCCAAACCTACCCTCCAAAACCCACCCAGAACAATTTTTTAAAAGGAAAAAGCAGCACCTTACCTCCACTGCCGCTACCGGGCTTTAAAAGGAAAAAGCAGCACCTTACCTCCGCTGCCGCTACCAGGCCAGGGCTCCAGCTGCCTCTGCGGAGGCTTCCAGGGTTTCCAAGGCACCGGCAGCCCAGCGCCTTCTCCAGCTGCCTCTGCGGAGGCTTCCAGGGCGCTTACTCATGAGTAGACCTACACTGTCTACTGCTTACTCACAAGTAGACCTGCACCAGGGATGGGCAGGGAGTGCACCGGCTGTCCCCGCCTCTCCCTCCTCACCAGGGATGGGCAGGGAGCGCACTGGCTGCCCCTGCCTCTCCCTCCTCCTCGGCAAAAGTAAAAAAGTTCCCTGACCCCCTGCTCTAACCGTTGGGGTGAAAGAGCAGCCTCGTTGCCACCAACGGTTTGAATTTCCCACCCTTTTCCCCTGCCTTTTTCTGTTCTTAAGTCAAAGCTCCGGCCGCAAGTCAAAGCAAAATTTTGCAGCCGGAGCTGTCTGTAAGTCAAATTGTTCATAGGTGAAGGCGTTCGTAAGTCAAGGTACCACTGTAATTCAATAGGCCTGCTCTAATAAAATTTACTACACCAAGCAACAGAACTATAGCCAGTTCAGGACTAATCTTAAACTTTTAGAAATTTAAGCTTTTTGCATTCTTCCTCCTCACACGGTAGTGAATCAGAGAAGGGAGAGCTTGTCTAGGCTTGAGAAATTTTCTGCTTTCTTGGAGCATACTAAAAGTTGACCAGTCCCAGCCAAGCAGAAAGAATTGACCCGAACAACTTAACAGGTTAAGCTTCCAAGTAAAAACTTTAATGAAACAGCAAAAAATCAAGCAAGCTTTCAACAGGAAACATGCCCTACCATTTTCAGGATATAAATGGCATACTAGCTGCCTTGCATACAGTAATATACACTCAATGTGACTGCATCACACATTCCAGGTGGACTAATTGCTTAATCAACTTACTGCTGTCCTAATGAGGTCAATTATAGGAATCCATGAATCACTAAGTCTTTGCCCTTCTTCACGGTTCAGCACATTACTTCTCACATGTATCTCTGAAGTCTATCTTATCAAATTCCAAGAGTATCACTGAAACAAGTTTGCGGTTTAGTAGAACTCAGTCATCCCTATAACCTCTCTAAGAACACAGTAATCAACTTTTCTGTGTCCTAGTGCAGTCATAGTTGCCAATACTTCCAAAATGACTAAAGAAACATTTTAAAAACCCACCTGGTTTTCTTCACAGTGATATTGCTACTAAGCTTCTCTAGTGTACATTCTCCAGTACCATGGTTAATTATCAAGATGCATTCTTTTTGATATGGCTTCTTGGAACCCTTGAAAACTGTTACAGGTGGAGTAGAACCCTGTTTTAGATTAGAACAAAAATATTGATGCTTTTTTTATTTTTAAAAAGGGCAAATAGCTGTGTATTTTGTGGAGCCAGTACATCAGAACACTTTACCGAAGAGTATGTGTGATGGTGGCATCACAAGCCACAAACAACCATTTAGCTCAGCGATTTAGGCATCTGGCTGCTGAGCCACAGATTGAGAGTTCAATTCCCCATTGTGTCTACCTGACAGGGTCTAGACCCATAAGGCCCTTTTAGCTCCACAGTTCTAAAATTATTATTAACATATATGGAACTATTATATTATTTTTGGAATGCATACCAAAATAACAATAGGAAACCTATGTAGAGTATGCTGAGCTTGCAGCTGCCATTTGAGCCTTCTAGATCACCAGGGACGTGGTGGCGCTGTGGGCTAAACCACAGAACCCTTTGTGTGCTGCAGGGTCAGAAGACCAGCAGTCCTAAAATTCAATCCACGCAACGGAGTGAGCTCCTATCACTTTGTCCCAGCTCCTCGCCAATCTAGTAGTTCGAAAGCATGCAAATGCTAGTGGGAAGGTAAAACAGCATTCCCTAGTCACGCTGGCCACGTGGCTCTACGGCTTGAAAATGGGGATGAGCACCACCCCCTAGAGTCGGACATGACTGGACTAAAAAATGTCAAGGGGAACTTTTACCTTTAGATCACACAAAATATTTTCCTCAGTTTTATTTAATTAAGGTAGAACATCTAATGGTCTTCCTAACTTACCAATTATTTACTGAATGTATTGTAGTGCCTTTCAAAATTGTAGAATGACATTCTTCTCTTAAATTAATCTTTCTGGCTCACTTTCCTGAGACATGTGACTTTACTCACAAAGTGTGAAACATGCCACCCAGGTTATGGTGAAAGGAATTATGCCAGTGATTGCTGGATTTTCAGATATTCTGCCTGTCCTTGGCTCTGTAGCAAAAGCTGCAAGTAGTATTAGGCTTTTCTGTGCCATGTTTAAAAACATGGTTTTTAAACAAAGTGTTAAAAATCAGGGATTTTTAAGAAACTGTAATGGAATTTTTGGTCCAGCCTAGATTCCAAAATTTACACACAGCTGCTATGAAAATACGCAAAACTTGAATATATATAATGTGGTCTAAGTTATAATTTTCTTTTTTCATTACTGGAGCTTATAGTTTAATATCCGATGAGAACTCAGAGCTCCCCTACACTATGCAAGTTAACTGTGGTTGTACATAATCTGTACTCATTCAAAGAGACTATGATCTTAAATAGCCTAACATGGAAGTAAGTTACAGTATATTTTACATATCACAGGGCAATATGTAAAATATAACGGCTGCAACTCTTAGGGTCCCTTTGTGTATAAGAACAGCAGAAGTGAAGACACATGCACCCAAATGGAGATTGCTGGCTATAGCTCACAAAGACAAATCCTGTGCCTGTTAAGAAGTGCAAATATTTGCAGTGAACATGTCAAATACAGCACTCCAAATCAACACCAGGAGAGTTACGGGCAATGTCATTCTTGCATTCTTGATATATTTTAAAGTAATGACCGTTTAAAACAGCATCTCCAACCTTTCCTCCCAAAGAGATAAAGCAATCTTACCTCAATATTTGGCAAAGTTATTGTCACCTGTTCTCCTTTACCAACTTCAAGCTCTCCTTCACAACTTGTATCAATTGAGGCAGGCTTGAAGTCATCTAGGAGGAAAAAAGAATGATAAAATATCCATTGGTGTCTGTGAATACGGGTTAGTTCTGCCAGGGGCGTTTCCGTTGACAGCGTGGCTAATAAAGCAATCTTACCTCAATATTTGGCAAAGTTATTGTCACCTGTTCTCCTTTACCAACTTCAAGCTCTCCTTCACAACTTGTATCAATTGAGGCAGGCTTGAAGTCATCTAGGAGGAAAAAAGAATGATAAAATATCCATTGGTGTCTGTGAATACGGGTTAGTTCTGCCAGGGGCGTTTCCGTTGACAGCGTGGCTAAAAGAACAGGATAAAATATCCATTGGTGTCTGTGAATACAGGTTAATTCTGCCAGGGGCGGTTCCGTTGACAGCGTGGGAAAAAGAACAGGAGGCTGATCTTCTTTTCTAACAGAATCAGTTTTATTGGTTAACAAACTCAACTCTGCTGGCTCAAACGGATCCATTAAACTCAACTCTGGTAACAACTTCTAACTTGCGTGGTTATTTCCTTGTCTTTTCTCCTTACCTTATAACTTCAAACTCACGTGGTTATTTCCTTATCTTTTCTCCTTACAGGGGGGCTGGAACAAATTGCTCCCTGTCAGTCATAGGACGGATCAGAGTGGTCCGCACAGCGCAAATGTCCCACAACATGGGTGTCGCGCCCAGTCCCCCTCCCGCTGGCTCTGAAGCAAAGAGGGACTGGGACGGATCACCCGCCTCCCCCCACGCTGATTGTGTGGGTACACCACCACAGTCCATTCCAAGGGATCTACCTCTTGACCGCGCATGACGAACTCTGGAGGTCCTGGCAAAAATCCTCCATCAACCTGCAAATTCGGAAACTCTTTGAGCAGCTTCAGAAAGCTGTCATGGCCCATGCTCCATTCTGTCTGAGCCAATCTATCTTTCTTGTCTGCTGGTTCACTCTTTACCACTCTCCCACTTCCCGCCTTTTCTCCCTCATTTATATCTTCCCATACAATCAAATCAAACACCTCCCCTCTCTCATCAGCCAAACACACTTCTCTATGCTCCTGTACTTCCCGGTCATCTAGTTCCACCTCCACTAATATCCCCTCCACACATCCTGTGCCTCATTCTGCTCCTTTGACAGAGGAGGACAGCTCACTCCCTTTCTCTCCTTCACAGTATCTCAACAAACTTCAGTTTGTTCAAAAGGAAAAAATGCTGGTATCCCTCCTAGTATCTTCCACATTCATTTGGAAGTTTACTCAAAATTTCCACAAGACTTGTCCAGCTCAGAAAATTTCTCAATACCTATTACAGATTTCAGCAAATTTTTGAGGTATATAATTTCATCTAAATATGCCAAGTAGGCTTAAATGAAGGAGACTCTTCATCTACGTCAAGTTGTTATGTTCATAAGAAGAGAGAGAACTAGGATTTAGGAAAGAAAGGACTAGACTGAAAGGAAAAGCATGTCTAAGTGCAAATGGAAATTACCTCACAATTCCTACATTCAAAAGAAATAACACATTTATAGGTATAATCTGATTTTTATTCCATATTAGCAAAACACATTTTTCTTTTTAGACATTATACATCAGCTTTTTAAGTTTTAGTACAAACAATCCAGTCTTTTTAAAAAGGATTTAGCAAGAGCTACTGCCTCACCATAAACTGTCACTGTCATGGGCTGTCAAGTCAAACCCACCCATCTATGAATGAGTGATCTCCAAAATATCCTGTCCTTAACAGTCCTACTCCACCACTGCAAACTCAAGCCTTTGGTCCTGAGTTAATCTATCTCATATTTGGTCTTCCTGTTTTCCTGCTGCCTTCTACCTTTCCCAAGCATTATTGTCCTTTCCTGCCTTCTCATGATATTCCCAAAGCAGGACGGCCTCAGTCTCAACATTTTTGCCTCCAGTGACAGCTCAGGCTTGATTTGCTCTAAGACCAATTTGTTTGTCTTTCTGGCAGGCCAGGTTATCCACAAAGCTCTACTCCCGCACCCCATTTCAAACAAATCTCCCCCCCCCCCCCAAATCAGCTTTCTCTAATGTCCATCCATACATTGTGTTCGGAAATACAATAGTGTGAATGATCTTGGTCTTCATCTCCAGTGACACATCCTTACATGTGATGATCTTTTCTGGAACTTTCATTGCTGTCCTTCTGATTTCTTGGCTGCACTCTCCATTTGGATTGATGATTGAGCCAAGTTATATACAACATTTGATTCTGCTTTCTTCCTTACATTTGCATTCCAGTCACCTATATTCATAAACATGCTTTGCTTTGGTGTGTGATCAATCACTTTTTAGAGGACTGCATAAAAGTCTTCAATTTCATATTCTTCAGCTTTGATAGCTGGAGCATAGACTTAAATGATGGTTATGTCTGATTTATATTATTTGGCCAGACCTTGCATTATAGTCCCCAACTGCCTGTGCTACATTTTGCCTCAGTATTAAAGCCACATCATTTCTTCAGATTTAGTCAATCCCAGAACAGAACACTTTGTAGTTGTTAGACTAAAAATGTCCCATTCCAGTGCACTTTATTTCCCTGACACCGAGCACTGCTATGTCTATACATTCCGTTCTTTGTTTTATGGTTTCCAGTTTACCCTGAATCATAGTTCACACATCCCATATTCCAATTGTATGTGCTTCACATTTGGACTTTCACTTCTGTGCATTAGACATCCTTTTGGCTTTACTCTTGTTGCATCATTAACAATAAAGTTATTCATACTTGTCCTTTGCTCTTCCCCAGTAGCTGGTTGAGTATTTTCTGACCTGGGTCGCATCTTCTACCACTATCTTTTGTTTCATTTTGGACTGTCTCATCATATGGTTTTCACAGTAAGGAAAATTCAGCAGGGGTTTACTATTGCCACCTTCTGCACAATACCAGCAAAAGTTAGTTTGAGTGTCACTGCCACTACCTCCTTCATCAGTGTTACTTTCATTTAGCACTGCTAACCAGTAGCTGCCTTGAAGAGGGTGGATGCATCTTAGACTGGCGTCTCAGCTGTGACCTGCTTTGGGTGACCCTGCTAGGAGTCTAGGCTCATAATGGAGTCTCTGGCATTGCTCTCAACTTCACTGACACACTCAAATCTTTTCACCATGTTGAGGTGTGCATCCAAGAACCATAAGCATTAATAATAAAAATTACTGAGTTGACAAATAGTGTTTGGAAAATGTAACATTTAGATAATTTTTGTTTCAAAAACATCAGTTTTCTTATTTATTTAATACATTTGTATACCACCTGACTAGTGCTGGGTATTTCTCGGGGCAGTTTACAGCAAAGGAAACAATGTAAACATGAGATAACAAACATAAGACATCAAATCATCAAATAAAAACAAAATAATTGAGAAACGAACAAAAATACAACTATACATAGAAGTAAACAGCCCCCACAATGTTAAGATGGCAAAAATCTAGAAATGCATTTAATCAAGGATGTCCCCTAAATACTTTTTCAAACAACCTGGTTTTTAGCATCCTCTTAAAGACAAGAGGGCAAAGCCAAATTATTTTACCGAATGTTCCAAGAACCCAGAAAATTAGCTATAAAAAGTTCATTGTTGGAGTGCTACTGCTTTCTCTCTCCCTCAAACTGATGAGTATAAAGTTGACTCTGTTAAATGAACCCATTAATTATTGACACTATACAAAGAATTTGAATAGGTTTTAAATAAACAGGTCTCCAACTTTCAAATACTTGGAAACTAAATTATTCTAAAGCAAATACAAAGCATTAGGGTGTTATCTGAAACAACCTTACTAGGAAGTAAGTTCCAGTAGCTATCACAGGGTTATCTAGCAAATGCCATTATTTATTAAAAGCCACACATCTTGCCTAGTCTAAAAACCTCAATTTTCCCATAAGGGTCTTGATTTTTTCCCCTCTATGATATGTAGAACTTGAAGGCAATGTATGGTTTCATTTAGATTTCCCTGACTCCTTCCTCTTCTTGAAAACAGGCTCATGACACAGTAAGCTATTGTTATGATACATTTGTTATAATGTCATAGAGATTGGTGCTGCATGAAGTTGATAAGCAAGATCTGGCAACTCTGCTTACCTCCTAACCTCAGTTTTTCCCATTTCACTTCTGGCCAGCGCCCAATTAGTTCTGCCTAGGTTTTCTTTTTTAAAAGTAGTTTTTAAAAGTATCCCATCTCTTAAAAACCACTGCAGATTCTTAAATGGAGTTGACTGAAATCAACTGAATAAAACTGATGTTTGTGATAGTTATCTTTAAATTCCAGCACACTGCTAGTTTTTCCCTATTGACTTTGTGGGTACAAGAATATAAAACAAAGTTAATTCATGATCTCTTTCTTGAACACTGAATAATACTGCCATTCAGAAGGAGAAATATAAGAATTATTGCCTCAATCCACCCTCAGTTAAACTGAATACAGTATCACTTTTAAAAGCCCACTGGTCTCATTTTAAAAAACACAGGTACAAACTACCCCTTCTTTCCCAAAAGTCTTAAGCTGGAATTTCTGTAGCCACACAAAATGCCTTGGCTCCTGTAAAAACTAACAGATTCACTGAGAAATTAGCTTTTATGAAATAATTGGGGGGGGGGTAGAAACCCAATCTCTAAGTGATCTGCCGGAGCCTCCTCCCCATGATTTTCCCAATTATTTGACAAGAATTGTAAACAGTGCCTCCCAAAAAGTTTCAGGGAGCAAGGGATGGATCTGGGTGGGGAAGGAAGACAAGTCCAGCTCAGTTTTAAGCAAAAATTAATTCCCAAACTTAGGTTGCTTGAAATGTATCCCTTTTAGACACGACCCTGGTTGGTGGATGTCAGGATCCCACTGAAAAACATGACACACAAAATAGATCCTACAAGATTATAGCCCCTCGATTGGTGGATTATCAGATCCCTGGAAGGATTAGCTTGCCTTTGGTTTGGTCACCTTCCCGGTGCCTTTTTACATACATTCGTTCTCAACATTTTGGCTGAGAGTGATGAAGGGACTACTTGTCCGTCTCTGATATTACTTTAACAGCCTCCATCCTGCCGCCTAGCCAAACTCCTCGGACTCCAGCTGGTTTTCTTACAGGCGCTGGGGATTCCCAACCTGAGGGTCTGCCCTCCCCCCCACATCGCCCCATCGCCGATCTTTCCCTAAAAGACCCATGAACTTCTGGAACAAGTCCTACCCATCACACCCCGGCCGGCCGCCGGCAGCCCCTACCTAGCTTTCCGCCCGCCCCCCCACGACACACAGCATATACACACACTCACAGCGCACAGTGTGGAAGGCACAACGCGGCTTCCTCTCGAAACTGTTGCCCAGCAGCAGCACGCGTTGCTTACAGTCGAAGAGCGGCTGGGTCACGCCGTTCATCCCGAACTGCCCACTCCTCCCTTGCCTCTCTCTCTCTCTCTCCGACCCCGTTTGACAGAGACAAGTGACCCCAACCTCCACCTGGTTGCTTCTGAGTGAACTTTCCTTGGCACCTCCCGAGCCGGAGGGGTGGGCGGAGCCACCGCGCGCTCTCCTCACGGAGGCCACGCCCCCTTGGTCTCTCGCTCTTCTTCTCACTGGAGGACTGAGTCGTAGCACCGCCTCCTCCGAACTTTTTTTCAAAGGAGATGAAAGCGGTACCTGAAAAGGCGGAGACGCAAGAGGGAGCTCTGGCCTTCCGATTGGTTGCGGCCGCTTACCTAAACCCACCCAGTCTCGGTGTCTGTCACTCTTTGTCGTGGCGCGAGTGCGAGCGGCTGAAGCGCCCGGAAGAGGCGATTTTGGATCCCAGGAGGGAAAGCCTCTTATGCAAATGAAGAAAGAGGGAGGGGGAGCTTCCAAGCGACGCCATGGGAACTGATGTCTCGTGCCGAGGACTGCTGTCTTATTGGGTGGAGGCCCTTGTGACCTCACCATTGAGGCAGGCCGTAGGAGTCTCGTAAGCGCTTCCGGTCGCAAGAAAGGCGGCGGTTGAAAAGAGGGTTGGTAAGAGACAGGGAGCGCTCCTCTCTCGGTGGTTGGGCGGAGAGACTGTGGAGGTTGAGGAACGCGTCGGGAAAACTGTTCGTGGTTCTGCTGAGGGCCCTGAAGTAGTGTACTCTGAGCGGGGGTTTATAGCCCCCCCCCCGGCTTCGTTAATCCTCCTGTGGGGAAAACAGTGAAGTAAATTCTGTGGTGCGTGAGGTGCTTCCACAACGAGTGAAAATACTCTGGCCGTTGGCTTCGGGTTTGGGCTCGGAATAGGCCCCTGAATATGCACTGGGACGCTCGCTTTGAAGCCTGAATTTGCTGCATTTGTGTACTACAGTAGTTACACTCCAAAGTTCCTGGATTCAATTCATGCCCAGGTGGGACTGGGAAATACTTGTTTAAAAGCGGCGGGGCTCTTGTGGCCCTTGACGTGTTCGAGGATTGCCCCTTTTTCATTAGCTCTTGCCAACCGAACTGATGGCAAGATCTGAGGGGAGTTGCAAGCCAAAAAATATCTAGAGTGCTGCCCATTGCCTGACTCGGATCTAAAATTGTAGAGCAGCCTTAGCTAAAGTGTTTGGGCTGCAACTTCTAATTTCAGCCAAGTCAGGGCCTTCTATTCTGCAGCTTCAGTCTTCACAGCAGCACCATATTATTTTGTTTTTATCTTTTGATATTGCTTACCATAAAACCTGAGCTCTGTTTGGCCTTTCTGTCATGGATTTACAGGTTTGCAGAACAGGACTGCATTTGGTAGCCTCACCGTCTTTGTCTATCCACCTTGCCTGTGTAGAGTTCCTTTGCTGTCTCACAAGACTCCATGTGCTCTGCAAGGAATTTAGATCAAGCTTTTGTTTTCTCATTTCCCTTTGCCATTCTATGTCAATTTTAAAATATCTTGATCCAGACATCAGTGATCTTGAAAGTTTGCACACTTTTCAGTACCTCTTTGATTGGTGTAATAAAGATTTCACACCAATATGGATTGTCTTTATAGTCTCTCCATGTGTTGTGGATTCCATATAGTATTGGGGTTGTAGAGTCATTCTTTGTGTGTAGAGCTAACTCTTCTCTGCACACCTAGTGTCCCAAACCTGTGAGTTGGGGTGCAACTGCAGTCCTGTTCTCCAACACTTGCAAGTCAATAGTGTGAAGGAATAGTCAGAGTGGATAATGTTAGTTGAAATACACCTTATATAAGCATTTCTATGTATCATCAGAGGAAAAGCTTTGATGTATAAGCTATATTTAGTGTTTTTCATCTTCCTTTAGAAAGGCTGCGGGGATTAAGCTGATGTTGACATTACAAATGTTTTGTTGTGCTCTGGACATATACACTGCATTTCAGCCTGATAGTAAAGTTTAGTAATCAACAGTGTTACTGCACTGCACCTTCTGTATAGATAGTGGAACTACATTGTTGCTGACTTCAGTAGCAAAGATTTCTCAGGTTCCTTAGTTGCTATTTTCCTTTCCAAAATGTTTATTCCCAGTATTTTCCAGACATGTTATGCTTCCAAATTTTTGATGAAATGGCCAGAATCATGTTGCACAAGATACAACTGCAGAAGGGAGGTAATGTCATAGAAAATATTTTCTGTAATTAAAGACTTCCTCCTTTTGTCTGGTGGTTTCCGTAACATCAGTGCAATGAAGCAGATTACTCATGAGTTGGACAAACTGCAGATCAGGTGCAGGAAGTCCTTAATCACCAAAAATGGCCCCAACAAATGACATAATCATTCTTTTGCTCGTGTAACTTCAACAGGATTCTGGCTGATACCTTTAATTGTCTTTGTCTATCTTGTGTTTTCTTATTTCAAGGCTTTTAAGAATTCATCAAGTGAAACAAATTGCAAAAAAACAAACAAACCTGATTTGACTTGTCACAATTTTGTGAAGTGTTGCAATCACCTAATAATCATAGTTGCTTGAATGAAAGCAGCTAAATTGTTTATAAGAAATTGCCTACCACTGATGGATCAGTGATCCATTTAGTTCATGTCTGCATTCTCTGTCTGGCAGCTACTCTCTAGGGTGTTCCATACTTTTCTGAAGATCATTTTATTGACAGTACTGGGGGCAAACTTGGGACCTTGGTGTGCAACCTCTAGCATTACATTATGTTTTCAATCTTGGCTGACAAACAGCACTACAGTTTATCTCTGACAGAAAAAGGAACTTGTATTGTTACTGAAAGAAGAGATAATTATAGAAGAGGAACCAATTTATGAATGTGTTATCGAAATGGTTCTGCCCTCAGAATAATTTGCTTAGATTCCAAATGTGGATTTTATTAAAAGCATAATCTAATAGTCTTTTCTTTAAATGAGGGCTAATATCTTTGTTTTCTGTTCTCTTTCTCTTTGTTAAAAACAGCTCAGATGTGTGAAATGAAGCCATTACCTGTGGATCCCAGAATATTGTCTCTGGCTACCCATGTCACTGAAAGTTCAGATCAGGATGTTCCTGGGTTATTGCTGAAGTTAAAAGGTAAGTAGGCTGAAAGCTTTTAAGCCCAGAGCTGGGCAACATTTGGTTGATATTCCTCACATGCACCAGAGGCACGTTTTAGCTGCAACTACATTGACAAATACTTTGGTATTTGCACTATGATTTAGCATGGGTGAATTTGAAGTATTTTTCTAGAGTAATGTGAAGCCAACGTGAATCAGTGCAGCCCCCTTTCTTTCTGATTTGGAGGGGTTTTTTTTATCCTGGGACGACTTCTATTTTTTAAAAGCCAGAATGATTCAAAATGTGTTTCCTTGCATGATCGTTTGTTTTGTTCTACAAAAGAACAGGGCCTATGACTCTGGGTAGTGTTGTATTAAACTGAGGTATGATATTTCGGGGCAGCAGGCACACCTGCCCCTGCAATATTTCTCTGTAGTCAACCTGAAGTATTTTTTTTATTTATTTAAACTACCAAGGTTAGCACTAGATCACCTTATCACTGCATTGATATATTAGTTTAGAGCTACATCACCTTGGTACAGAAAAAAAACACCAAAGAATCTCTTAACGCATGCCAAATCATATTGGATTGAAGGTCAGTGAGGACACAGACATCAAAACAATCTGGAGTTTTTGTTTGATCATTACATCAAATAGAACTGTAAAAGATACTGTGAATCAAGCAACAGCAAAGCTGAATCAGTGCTTTCCAGTATACAGTGGTGCCTCATTTAACAACGATAAACTGTTCCAGGAAAATTGCCGTTAAGCGAAAACATCGTAAGGTGAAAAAAAAAACCCATTGAAACGCATTGAAACCTGTTCAATGCATTCCAGTGGGGTAAAAACTCACTGTCCAGTGAAGATCCTCCATACGGCGGCCCTTTTCGCTGCCTGTATCGCAAGGAATCCGTCCCTAAACACAGCGGGGAGCCATTTTAATTACCTGGTGGCCATTTTGAAACCACCAATCAACTGTTCTAAAAACAGCATTTTGTGAAGAATCGGTTCCCAAAGCAGGGAACCGATCATCGCAAAGCGAAATTCCCCCATTTAGACCATCGTTTTGCGGGGCAATCGTAAAGCGAGGCACCACTGTAGTTGCATCTTTCTCTGCTGCCAGCACTGTCAAATTTGCTACAGAAGCAATGACAGAAAAAAAGCATTTCTCCTTTTTAAATTGGGGTGGGCAGTTCTTGTACTTTGTTTTTTGACAACTTTGGTTTTTTTCTGTTTAAAATAAGTTGTGTACTGTACTTTAAGAGTCTAATTATATTCCTGAGAAGCAAATAGGGGGTGTGAGGCAACTATAAGTGGCTCTGTTCTGTTTGTTGAATATCCTTATGTTGTTGAAATCATAAGATAAATGGTAAAATAGCTTTATGTGCTGAGACTCTTACACTGTAATAAAATTGAAATGCAGACTCTATTATGCTGGAGTTTTTTTACACTGGTTATTAGGCAGTTTTGATAAAACATCTGTTCTGATTCCATTGAGATATTTCTAAATATAATTATTGATTGGGGTGAGTAGAGAAAGAGGAGTAATCGTTGTAGAACAATTTAGCTCTTTGTGTTTCTTTTCCCAGCACAGCAACTATAGGAATGATATTGCTGTTTGAAAGGACCACTGAGTTGTTCAGAATCTTGTTGTAAGACAAAATAACAGAGTAGTTTTGTTTCTTTCTTTAAAAAAAAACTCCGGAAATATAAACCTCTATTTTTAGCCCTCCTTTAATTTGCAGACTATTAGGCAAAATATATATTACTAATTTTAATGAATGTATTTTATTTGATTAATTAATCCTGCTTAGTATGTTTGTAGGTTTCTTTACACAGTTTGTAACTCTGGAGAAAACAAAGTATTGAAAGTTGCAGAAAAAAGGTGTAGTAGCATGGGCATTAGGATTAAGGACTAAAAGAAACTGGGGGCGGGGTGCCCATATTTTTGCTATATTTCTGGTAGAGTAGCTTTCTCTGCCCTTAAAACATTCATGATAAAAATTATTGCTATCTAAAAGCAGGTCTCGTATATTCTGAAGATGAGTTGAAGGTGAATCACAGTTGCATTATTTTTAGAGGAAGTGCTAATTGTGAGAGGGTTGCTTTCCAGTAAAGGAAGTCTTTGTGGTCAGAGTTTACTAATTCTAGCTGTTCTGAACAAAGGAGTCTTGTCATCTGATTACCAGGAACTCAACTCAGAATCTCTCATTTTACAGTGTTTTGCGCACATTTTTTGTGTTTGTTCAAAATTTCTGAGCCATTTTTGTCACTACACGATTGCCCTATTCTTCTCTATGCCACCCTGCTTTGTCCATCCTGTCTTTTCCATCAGATTCAACCAGCAATCCTCTAAGTATGAATTGCTAGTTCGACCTTAATTGATTTTAAATACCGTCTAGCAGGCTGTGGCATCTTCTTCAGTGATGAAATATTGGGTGTTGTAATAAAATAGGCAAAGAAAGTGTCCCACATTGCTAGAGTTTAATGTACAGTAATTATTTCTTATAATTACATTGAATACAGGCTTTGTTAACATACGGTCATTGAATATTTTCATTTGTTTGTTTCCCTAGATATTTTAAGTAGCGTTCCATCTGGAAGTAACGAATCACAGAAAATCAAGCAAGACGTATATTACTATAATCTGCTTCAATATTGTGTATTCGTCCTTAAGCAAGATTATACAAAAGTATCTGGAGGCTGGGCTACTGCTGCAGATATAGCCGAGGTACTAAGGTAAAAATGTGCCATAGTTACAAACGTTTATTCCTGTTCTGTCTTTAGCTCTTCAACCTTTAAATTGTTGTGTGACTGTGTAATAGATTAAGGGGAATATGAGTGTGTTACCTACAGATGGCTAAAAGAAAGATGTCTATGCATTTTATCTTTGTAGCCTGTGTTGTATGGATGTCGAAGTGAAGGAAGACCCTGAAGAATTTTACAACAAACTACTTCCTTCTGCTGTAGACAACCTCCTTTTTTTGGGAAAGCGCCTGCAAGCACGCTTTGTTCGCACATTGAAGGTATTTGAACTGGCTGGCTTAATGTTGTGTAGTGGAACTGTTGACCCATTAATGTGCTTCTTGACACATTAACATGCTGAATGCGGATTTATTCAGGCAGTAAGGGATGGAGAGTTAACCTCCTCCATTCCTGGCACAAACATTATTCACCTTTTACACTGCAAGCCAACAATACACTACATGGATGTGCTTACCCATGCAACTCTGTGAAACAGCTGAGAAATATTAGGGGAAAAAGAATAATCCCAGGTTCTCAATGATCTCAAGAGTGTTGGTGTAGCCTCTCCCCACCCATATAAAACTAAGAGCGTCAAGAAAACAATCTTCTGTAGATACTATTGATCTTGCATACTGAAACTGTATTGTTTCTTCTATGTGGTCAAGAAGTGATTTGCAAATATATTTAAAGTGTGAGACATACTTTAAACATTTCCATTGGGATGAGCAACATATGAATTGTGAGCTGCAACAGGCTCCTTAGAATAATTGTTGAGCCCCCTAGAACCCTCCTAAAATTTAAGTGTTTTTAAAAAAACTTTTCTCAGTCTTTCTGTATCATACAGGTTAACTGGGGGCAGTTATGAGTGGCCAGCAGCACTCCTGGAGCCCCATTCCTCTGGTTTTACTTTAAAAAAAAAACAATTGGGCGGTAAAAGAAGCAAGGTGTATTTTTTTGGTTAAACTTTATATAGTTTTAATTTTTTTAGTTATACCTATAGTCTCAACCTTGTACAAAGTAATGACAGTCACAGTGACAATAATATATAGACACATTTGTCTCTTTGGCCATGCCCTTTCCCTTTAGGGTTGGCTGCCAAGAAACCTGAAAAATGGCCCTGCTGAGAGAGGCTACCTCTGATTTACACCTGCTCCAATGGTGTAGATGGTTTATATGGAACTTTCAAAAAACAGCTTGGTGGCTTGACATCAAACAGACCTAAATGAGAGCTAACCTAAGAAACCAGCTGGCTTTCCATACAGAACAAATAGAGAAGTGGATTTTAAAACTGGATCAATTACTGCCAGTTGCCACAGGATAAAGAATTGAACCTCCATTCTAAAAATGGTTCTAGGTCTTTGACAAATGGAAGAAAATGTTGCAGCAGGAAATAGATATCAAGGGATAACACTTGCGTGAATGGATGGCATTCATATGTAAAAAATCTACCCATTATTGTGTAGTTTTTGCATTTCTCATAAAGATACATCTCTGAAAACCGGTGGACATATCCAGTGGTCAGGTCAGAAGTATCCTCCACTGCCAATGACGTAGCATTGTATTCGCCTGCTCCAAGGGGCTTTCAGAGTGACTAGTACTATTTAGCAAATGTAATTGGAGGTTAAGATTATTAAATATATGTTTCAACAAACAGACCTTAAATGTTGCAGGTGTTGTTTCTTGTTTTTCAAGGAGGAAGAGAGAAACTCATTTTTAAACAGTTTCAGAACAGTAACTGATGCCATCTGCAGGCTGTGTGGAAGACATATTCAACTAACAGGCAATGGTAAGGGGAAAGGGGTCTGGATGATCATCATTGTAACTAGAAGGGTGGGTGGGAGTGTCTCATCTAATATTTGTATTCTGCTTTTAAACCGAATTTTTATTGGTAAAACTACAGATTTGTTGATATTTCTTCCCCTGCTTAAGTTAGACTTCCTGTTTTCACTTTAGTGTTTCAGAATAAACACTTCCAACAACTGCTGATGACTGATGATGTTGAAACTTCCACTATAACTATGTCTGTGTTACAGAACATTTTAAAGGTGAACAGGTAAACCATACTTAAATTATATCTGGAAGTGTTTCTCTTAATGATTGAGATATTTCAACTCAGAATTTACTTCTGTGGACGAGGGATAATATTTTACCAAAAGAGGACTCTGTAGAATTTTAGGTGCTTTCCTAATCAATTTTATCTCCAGAGTAGTGACCTCATAAATAATTTTATTGTGGAACTGAATAATCATAGCAAGCCCTTTTATACTGCAGTAATTTTCCAGTGGCTATAAACAACATGCACAGCTGCTTTAGTATGGATTGCACTTTGTGGGAATTTCACATTTATTTAACATTCAGGACTTAAAGAATCTTGAATGTGAAAAATTCTTTCTTTCTTAGCTAGCACTTAACATTACTACTGAAATCACTGTGCGGAATTGTATGTGTCAAGTCCCCTTCCTGAATGTTTTTGAAATGTAGTGATGATGTTAATCCAGCTCTTTCTACTACCACCGCACATGTTAACACATTTTCCGCCTAAGACAGAAGAAGTGCTGTATCATCTTAGTAACAGGTAACACATTGCTTCATTCATTTGTGTCCTCACCAACTGCCCATTATTCTAACTCTAGATAGAATGTCCTTTATGGCTTATTATATTGAGAGACAGGTGACATTCAGTGCTATCTAGTGAGCAATCATTTTTCTCTGGAAGTCTTTTTGTTGGTTTAGCCTAGTGATTTATTTATTACATTTTTTCATGCCTTTCCTTTGATACTCAAAACTGCCTGCATGGGTTATCTCCTCCCCAATTTTCCTTACAATAAAACATTATAGTCAGATTTTAAAGGTGCTTGTGTTGTGTTTTGGATGCAGTATAAGCTAACCTTCCACCACCCCACCTTGGGTAGACTTCAATATTATTTTGTCTGTTTTCTGCTTTTGTCAGTGCTATATTACTTCAAGTAGCTGAAAAGACTCTACACTGCATTTTAGATGAACTTGTTTACAAGATTTCCTCCACATCCAATCCTGTCATAGGAAATGCAGCTGTGACACTGTTACTGTTGATCACAGAATCTGATGCTCAGCTTTTGACAACACTAGTTACCCGCTACAAAGGTTTGCCATGCTGTTTATTTCCTTGGAATTGGGGGGAAAAATCTAGAATAATGGCCATTGTCATAGATTATCAGTTGAAGGGATATATGGTTCACTGTAATTTTCACTATGAGAAAAGATAATTTTATACAATATAGTTTCATGTATCAGTTGTGAAAAATCTTAAATTTGTAAATAAACTGGTAAGACACAGTGAGTTACAGTAAGACTTCAGTGGTGTGTTCAGTTAACACATTCTTAATTGAGTTCTATTAAAACTAACTGCATCTCTCATCCTGACTTGGAGAAGATAGTGTCCTTCTCATGAGAGGTGAAGCCCCATGAATAGACATTTTTTAAAAGTTTCTTTTTCAGCAGTGCCACTTGATTGAGTTAATACACCTATATTTCCCCAAATGACTTCAAGTTAGCTATTGTACCATTATCCTAGAGTTAACCCCTTTGGGTTTTGTGATATCCAAAGCACCTGCCCTTTGTTAATGCAGTGGATACTCCCCAAGCTTTCCTGGAGTGTTCATATCCAGCAATCGTATTTCTAAGATGGTACAAGTTTATTCAACCACGGCAATTGTTTTGAAAGATTTTACTTTAAACCAAGGTTACGTAGTTGAAATTCTGTCAACAAAATTTGCCTTAATTGTCTTGCTTATTGTACCATTTTTAAAACAAAGTAGGAATGTGAGGCAGAGGGACTGTCACTCTTTTACATCTGGAAAGGTGCAGTAATATTCAGAACAAAATGTTTTGTACAGTGTGTAAAAATATGATTTGTAAATGTAGTAAATGCAGTTAAGAAAAAAGGGCTATGATAGGTGGCAGATCTTTCAGTGTACATCAGGAGGCAAATCTGGGTTTACTACCTTGGACTGAGTCAACCCTGAGTGCTTACTGGAAGGACAGATCCTGAAGCTGAGGCTCCAATACTTTGGCCAGCTCATGCAAAGAGAAGACGCTCTGGAAAAGACCCTGATGTTAGGAAAGTGTGAAGGCAGGAGGAGAAGGGAACGACAGAGGACGAGATGGCTGGACAGTGTCATCGAAGCTACCAACATGAATTTGACCCAACTCCGGGAGGCAGTGGAAGACAGGAGGGCCTGGCATGCTCTGGTCCATGGGGTCACGAAGAGTTGGACATGACTTAACGACTAAACAACAACCTTGGGCTTGTATGAAGAGTATCTTAGCTGTTTCAGCTCCTCATTAATATTTTGGCCCCTTGTTGCCACTCATCTGTTTTGCATGGAAAATTCACACTACCGGTCTGCTCCTGCATGTGCAACTATAATTCATCATTGAGAAATGTAGGATGACCAAGATAACTAGTGTTTTTTCCAAAGCAGCATATTTTTCTTGGTATGTCTTCTTAAGGACTACAGACTCTTCTAAGCAAGCAGTGGACTGGCAAAGGGTTTGACAGGAACCTCAATCGGCTTTTGGATTTGCTGTATTCAGAAAACTTCAAATCAGGCAAAACACAGGTATGCTGGAAGTTTCATTGAGTTCTGCATTTGGTGGAAGTAGTTTGTGTTAGACCTCAGCCGTGAATTATTTCTGAGCCCCAAGCTGGCTTTTGTTCCTTATTACAGGTCCAATGGATCAATTGCCATATCTAGCTCCTTAGTTATTTGTTTTACAACATTTCAACCATGTGTTTTAATGCTACAAGGCAGCTTCTAGACTGTGGTGCACCGGACCCCCTAAAGGGCCACTGCCATTCGGTCAGAGAGCTCGACAGACCACTTACCTACCACCTTTGTGCTGGGGCAACTCCCAGGACTTCAGTGCATAGCGTAAGCCCTTTGAACAAGTCTGACCTTAAAAGAACACTTAGCAGTTGCTTAGCACTTTGCTAAAGCTCAGTTAGGTAGGACTCTTAAGGTGTTCAGCAGCGTGAGCACGCATGACTCCATCCCCTCCACACAGCATTCATACTCAGTCCCTTTGGTTCCAGTTGTGGAACCCTGTTCAGGGAGGGTCATGGGGGGCAGAGTCATGTGCATGGGGGTGGAGTCCCACCTAGCAGGGCTGAAAATTAGAGGGAAAGTTGCTCTTGTATGGCAGGGCAAGAGAACTGAGTACCCTACCCCCAATGTATCATTCTATATAATGGTACTGAAAAGATCTCCAGGTTTCTGCTAGACACTTCTGGGATTGGAAGGTAGTTATGGTAGTGCTGGAGGAGGGAAGCACATACTTCTCAAAGAGCTTAAGATAAAGACTGAGAGAGGGGGCTCTTCATTCCATCAAAATATGTAGAGATCTACGACATGGAATTGGATGTACCATTTGGATTTATGGAAGAAATCTGACAAATAGTTTAGAATTCCCCTGCCTCATCCTGAGAAACTGTTAGATAAACACAAGACAGCGAAGGTATCACAGTTGCTTTGACATTTTCAATTATGCAATGAAAAAATGAGTGTGATACTCTGACTTGTTGGTTTTAGAGACTACATCAAGCAGCATGCTTAATTCAGGCAGCGTGGAGAGGATTTCAAACACGAAGGAGATTAAAGCAGCTCCCAAAAGCAGTAACGACATTGCAGAGGAATTTTAGGTAAGAACAGAATTTTACTTTATTAAAAGTTATTGACTCAAATCTGGTAATGTAAAATTATGTCATATAAGTCTGACAATAGCATCAGCTGCAGCCATATTTTGTTAATTAAAAGTTTCCTGTCCCTGTCCCCAAAGTATCTAGGTTCCTTTGGGATCCCTTTGGTCATAGGGAAGCTTTTGAGGGCAGCAGGAATTGGGGGAGCAGTGTCTTAAATATCTGAATCAGTGGCAGAGATTATTTTAAGGCATTTCAGACTTTCCACCACTGTCCCCAAAGGCTTCCCTAGGATCTACTCAAGCCTAAGGAAACCTAAGAAACTTGAGGCACAGGATAGGAGAAATTTAATTACCAAAATTATGTTATGTTTCAGTGCTGTGTTTTGTTTGGTTTATTTATTTATTTATTTATTTATTTATTTATTTATTTATTTATTTATTTATTTATTTATTAGGCGCCGCGCCTTCCAATGGGGCTTGCTGTGTTGGATATTTTTATTATTATTAATGTTGTTGTTGTTGTGATATTTTTTTCAGCCCCAGCACGTTCCAATGAGACTTGCATTTTTTGAGGGGGGGTGATTTTTTTTCCGGCCTTGACACATTCCGATGGGGCTTGCAAGTGTTTTTTAGTTTGGGGTGATTTTTTTCCCGGCTCCAACACGTTCCAATGGGACTTGCAGTGTTTTGTTTGTTTGTTTGTTTTTTGTAAAAAAAAATTTTCATCCGGAACCGATTAATCATGCCCCAATGAATTTCTATGGGAAATGGTGCTTCGATTTACAAGCATTTCGAGTTACGACCATCATTCCGGAATGGATTAAGATCATAATGCAAGGCACCACTGTACAGACAACAAGGGATGGGATTAGGAGAGCAAAATCTAAGAATGAGTTATGATTAGCTGGAGTCAATAAAAGCAATAAAAAGCATTCTTCAGGTATGTGCAAAGAAAAAACAAAAGAAATAGTGGCACAGCTACTTAATGGAAATGGAAAAATAATAACAGATGACAAAGAAAAGGCAGAGAGTTCAATTCCTATTTTAGCTCAGTCTTTTTCCATAGGACAGACTATGAAACTCTGAACACTCTGAACTGCTGCTCATTTTTTTCTTGAAATCATGGGAAACATGTGAGGTGCCAGATGATTGGAGGAGGACTAATGTTACCCCTATCTTCAAAGAAGGGCAAGAAGGAGGAACCTGGGAACTACAGATCAGTCAGTCTGACATCAATCCCACTGAAAATTCTGGAACAAATTATAAAGCAGTCACTATGCAAGCACCTAAAAACTATGCAGTAATCACTAGTTTTTGTCAAGAACAAATCCTGCCAGATTAATCTCAGCTCATTTTTTATTCCATGATTCTGTCTCCCTGATAGACAACGGGAATGCTGTCGATATAGTATCTCTTGACTTCAGTAAAGCAAGCTAACTAGGTGTGGGCTGGATAGATCAAGTATCAGGTAGATAAATAATAGGCTACAGAATCATACTCAGAGGGTGATGTTTAATGGCTCCTCCAACTGGGGGGAGGTAACAAGTGAGATACCCCAGGGTTCAGTCCTGGATCCGGTGCTCTTCAACATTTTTATTAATGACTTGGATGAGGGAGTGAAGGGAATGCTTGTCAGCTTTGCAGATGATACAAAATTGGGTGGAATAGCTAATACCCTGGAAGACAAACAAAATTCAAAATGATCTTGATAGGCTGGAGCACTGGGTTGAAAACAACAGAATGAAATTCAACAGGGATTAAGTGCAAAGTACTGCACCTTGGAAAAAGAAGCCAGACCCACAGTTGTGAAGATGGGGAATACTGGGCTCAGCAATACTGTCAGCGAGAAGGATCTTGGAATTGTCATAGATCACAAGCTAAATATGAGCCAGCAATGCGATGCAGGTACAAAAAAGGCAAAACCTATTTTAGACTGCATTAACAGAAGTATAATTTCCAAATCCCACACGGGATTTCCGCACTGGTTATGCCTTACCTTGAGTATTGTGTCCAGTTCTGGACACTGCATTTCAAGAAGGAAGCTGATAAATTGGAACAAATTCAGAGGAGGGCAACAAGGATTATCAGGAGGCTGGAAACCAAGCCATATGAGGAAAGACTGAAAGAACTGGGCACGTTTAGCCTTGAGAAAAGAAGACTGAGTAGTGATATAACACTTTTGAAATACTGGAAAGGCTGTCATGCAGAGGAGGGGATCTGTTTTCGGTCATCTCAGAGTGCAGGACACACAATAATAGGCTCAAGTTACAGGAAACCTGATTTCAATTGAACATCAGTAAAAACTCCTAATGGTTAGAGCAGTGTGACTGGAACTAATTACCTTGAGGAGTGCAAAGTACTGCACCTTGGAAAAAGAAGCCAGACCCACAGTTGTGAAGATGGGGAATACTGGGCTCAGCAATACTGTCAGCGAGAAGGATCTTGGAATTGTCATAGATCACAAGCTAAATATGAGCCAGCAATGCGATGCAGGTACAAAAAAGGCAAAACCTATTTTAGACTGCATTAACAGAAGTATAATTTCCAAATCCCACACGGGATTTCCGCACTGGTTATGCCTTACCTTGAGTATTGTGTCCAGTTCTGGACACTGCATTTCAAGAAGGAAGCTGATAAATTGGAACAAATTCAGAGGAGGGCAACAAGGATTATCAGGAGGCTGGAAACCAAGCCATTTGAGGAAAGACTGAAAGAACTGGGCACGTTTAGCCTTGAGAAAAGAAGACTTGAGTAGTAATATAACACTTTTGAAATACTGGAAAGGCTGTCATGCAGAGGAGGGGATCTGTTTTCGGTCATCTCAGAGTGCAGGACACACAATAATAGGCTCAAGTTACAGGAAACCTGATTTCAATTGAACATCAGTAAAAACTCCTAATGGTTAGAGCAGTGCGACTGGAACTAATTACCTTGAGGAGTGGTGAGTGCTCCAACACTGGAGGATTCAAGAGCAACTTAGACAACTACCTGACAGATATCCTTTGATTTGTATTCCTTCATCAAACAGAGGGGAATGCTGTCGATATAGTATCTCTTGACTTCAGTAAAGCAAGCTAACTAGGTGTGGGCTGGATAGATCAAGTATCAGGTAGATAAATAATAGGCTACAGAATCATACTCAGAGGGTGATGTTTAATGGCTCCTTCTCCAACTGGGGGGAGGTAACAAGTGAGATACCCCAGGGTTCAGTCCTGGATCCGGTGCTCTTCAACATTTTTATTAATGACTTGGATGAGGGAGTGAAGGGAATGCTTGTCAGCTTTGCAGATGATACAAAATTGGGTGGAATAGCTAATACCCTGGAAGACAAACAAAATTCAAAATGATCTTGATAGGCTGGAGCACTGGGTTGAAAACAACAGAATGAAATTCAACAGGGATTAAGTGCAAAGTACTGCACCTTGGAAAAAGAAGCCAGACCCACAGTTGTGAAGATGGGGAATACTGGGCTCAGCAATACTGTCAGCGAGAAGGATCTTGGAATTGTCATAGATCACAAGCTAAATATGAGCCAGCAATGCGATGCAGGTACAAAAAAGGCAAAACCTATTTTAGACTGCATTAACAGAAGTATAATTTCCAAATCCCACACGGGATTTCTGCACTGGTTATGCCTTACCTTGAGTATTGTGTCCAGTTCTGGACACTGCATTTCAAGAAGGAAGCTGATAAATTGGAACAAATTCAGAGGAGGGCAACAAGGATTATCAGGAGGCTGGAAACCAAGCCATTTGAGGAAAGACTGAAAGAACTGGGCACGTTTAGCCTTGAGAAAAGAAGACTTGAGTAGTAATATAACACTTTTGAAATACTGGAAAGGCTGTCATGCAGAGGAGGGGATCTGTTTTCGGTCATCTCAGAGTGCAGGACACACAATAATAGGCTCAAGTTACAGGAAACCTGATTTCAATTGAACATCAGTAAAAACTCCTAATGGTTAGAGCAGTGCGACTGGAACTAATTACCTTGAGGAGTGGTGAGTGCTCCAACACTGGAGGATTCAAGAGCAACTTAGACAACTACCTGACAGATATCCTTTGATTTGTATTCCTTCATCAAACAGAGTTGGGCTTGATGGCCTTATAGGCCCCTTCCAACTTCACCCTTCTATCATTCCATGATAGCCAGTGGGTGCAGACATTGAGAATAATATGTATTTATTTATTATACTTATGCCCCACCCATCTAGTCATAGGCTATTCTGGGTGGCTGACAGCAAGTAAATAAAACAATTTAAAAGTAACAGTGATTTACAACAACCATAAACAATCATTCAAGATGGAAAAGAAAGAAAAAATAAATCAAGTAGTGCCTGGAGGGAAGGCCTGCCTAAACAGCCAGGTTTTTAATTGACTTTTAAAAATACCCAGCGAAGGGGCCATAGTGATGTCATTTGGGTAATACTCAAGTTGAGTAATGTGAACAGCCTAAGAATTCTCCAAATTTTCTAAGTAACCAGGCATAGTGATATATTTAGCAGTATATTTTATAGGATATTTGAGAAACTTGGAGAAAATCTATCTTGTTGTTCCCTAGCAAGATAATCCCGCAAGCTTTTGGAAATAAATAGATGGTAGAGGTCGACCAAATACCTGACTGGTTGTTGTGGATTTTTCTGGCTGTTTGGACATGTTATGGAGGTTTTTCTTCCTAATGTTTTGCCAGTCTCTGTGGCCGGCATCTTCAGAGGACAGGAGCAAGAATTCTGTCTGTGTTCTGGTGTCATGTGTGGGATTGTTGAGTATTTGTAGCTGTGGGATAAGGTTTTTTTTTGTTGTTCTTTTCAGGAGATTGCGGGTTTCCTGTGATCAGGGTAATTTTTGTTATGGATGTTTTGTTCTGATAAGGGGCGAGGTGATCTGTCAATGTGATTGATGGGTATTGTTGCTGGTCTTTTGTGTGCAGTGATCACTGGTCCTTGTGGCTGGGTAGAATTAATTGACCTTTGCAGGATGTATTTTTCAGTGCTGGGAGCCAGGCTTTGTTGATTTTTAGACTTCCTCCTTTTTTGTTGAACTTTTAGACTTCCTTCTTTTTTGTTGAACCTGTGCTGGTGATTGTGGATTTCAGTGGTTTCCCTGTGTAGTCTAACATAATGATAGTTGGTGTTGTCCAGTACGTCTGTGTTTTGAAATAGGATTTCATGTCCAGTTTGTTTCAGGGCATGTTCAGCTACTGCCAGTTTTAGTCTGCAGTGTCTTTCATGGTCTTTGATTCTGGTCTGGATGCTATGTTTTGTCATCCCGATAGATACCTGGCCACAACTGCAGGGTATCCAGTGTACTCCTGCAGTGGTGAAGGGATCCCTTTTGTCCTTTGCTGACTGTAACATTTGTTGTATTTATGTGGTGGGCCTGAATACTGTTTGTAGGTTGTGTTTTTTCAAAAGTTTCCCCATGTGGTCCATGACCCTTTTGATGTATGGCAGAATTACTTTGCGGGGGCTGTGTTTCTTATCAGTTCCGTGTTATTTTCTGAGTTTGATGGCTCTTGTGATTTCATTCTTGGAATAGCCATTTGCCTGTAGGGCCCAATTCAGATGGTTGAGTTCAGTGCTGAGAAATTGAGCTTCACAGTTCCAATTCCCATGGTCTACCGGCATTTTGATTATGCCTATTTTTTGTTGTGGGTAGTGGTAGGAGTTTTTGTGTAGGGGTTTTCTGTAGATGCTGTGTCCCAATAGGAGGTCAGGTTTGCATATGACCATCTAAGAAAGGGAGTTGGCCCTCTGTTTCTTTTTCCATGGTGAATTGTATATTTGGGTGGATGCTATTGAGATGGTTTAGAAATTCATCCAGTTTTTCTTCACCGTGGCTCCAAACTGCGAAAGTGTCATCCACATATCAGAACCAGACTGTGGGTGCGAAGGGTTCCAAATCCAGAATCTGTTTTTCAAAATGTTCCATGTAGAAGTTCGCTATAACTGGGCTGAGGGGGTTCCCCATGGCCACTCCATCTGTCTGTTCATAGAAATCGTTATCCTACTGAAAGTAGCTGGTCTTTTAGGCAGTGTTGGAAATGGGCCTTAATGTCTACTGGAAAGATCTGCTGGATGAGTGTCAGAGTGTCCTTTATCAGTACCTAGGTGAATAGGGTTACTATGTCAGACCTGATCAGTTGGTCCCTGGGGTTGAGTTTTAGGGTGCTGATCTTGTTTATGAAATGTCCTGAGTTCTTGATGTAGGATGAGGTTTGTCCAATGTAGGTCTGTAGGAGGGTGGCTAGGTATTTTGCTAATTCATATGTTGGGGAGCCAATGGCAAAATCCACAAAGACTCAATCCCATTCAGGTCCATTGTTAAGTGCCTTGCTATGTCTCAGTTTTTATTCCCTGGTTCCCATAAAATTGTTTCCAATATTGATACACATACTCATATTTTCCACTAAACATTTTTGTTACATCACTAAAATTAGGCAAGAAGTAGATTTTTGGTACAGGTTTGGATTAGGGGTTGCAGAATTGTAGGTGGGAAGATACATTTAGACTTGCAGCCTATAGTTGAAAAATACAAAAGTGTCTTAACAGGCACTTGTTTGAAGTATCCATTAGAGGGCAGACTTCACACACAGGTTTCTTGCTTGCAGAGTGATCTGCAGTTAAAATCAGAATTACAGTACAGTGGTGCCCCGCTTGATGAACGAAATCGCTTTACGATGCGGTGCCCCGCTTGATGATGACCCCGCCTGACAACGAAATCGCTTTACGATGCCTTTTTTGCGATTGCTATAGCAATAGCAAAACGATTGTTCCAATGGGCAATTTTCGTTTAACGATGATTTGGTCCCTGCTTCGGGAACTATTTTTTTGCTTGACGATGATTAAAAACAGCTGACTGGTGGTTTGCAAAATGTCTCCCCGCTGTTTTCCGGGCCGATTCTTTGCAAGAAAGGGATCGAAAATGGCTGCCCTATGGAGGATCTTCACTGGACAATGAGGTATTTCCCCCATTGGAATGCATTGACCAGTTTTCAATGCATTCCAATGGTTTTTTTAAAATTGACGACGATTTCGCTGTACAGCGATTTTGCTGGAATGCATTATTGTCGTCAAGCGGGGCACCACTGTACTGCTTTCACTGCCAATGTTAAACCTGACCCAAATACGTTAATGTATAACAGTGTTTGTAGGGACGTGGTGGTGCTGTGGGCTAAACCGCAGAAGCCTGTGCTGCAGGGTCAGAAGACCAAGCAGTCGCAAGATCGAATCCATGTGACGGAGTGAGCTCCCGCCGCTTGTCCCAGCTCCCGCCAACCTAGTGGTTCGAAAGCATGCAAATGCAAGTAGATAAATAGGGACCACTTAGCTGGGAAGGTAACAGCGTTCCGTGTCTAAGTCGCACTGGCCATGTGACCATGGAAGATTGTCTTCGGACAAACGCTGGCTCTATGGCTTGGAAACGGGGATGAGCACCGCCCCCTAGAGTCGAACACGACTGGACAAAAATTGTCAAAGGGAACCTTTACCTTTACCTTTTATAACAATGTCTATGTACCCTGAGACTGTTGGGATGTATATTTCTGTCTGTGTAATAAAACTATATGAAGATCTGCCATTCTATCACAGTAAGAATTATGGAGTTTAGGTTGAATGATCAGACCTAAATACATAGGTGCTTTTATTGTGAGAACCAGGAGGCCTAATTAATCTAGGAATTTTAACATAGAAACTGCTTCTGTACACATATCTTCCTTTATTTCTGAGAGGATTAATTCTTAAATGTTATTTCTTTGATCAGTATGGTTCCCATGTTCTTAATGAACACTTCTTTTATCATAGAATCGTGTAAGGAGGTAAGGGGAAATCCTGGGGTTGCCTCACTGTGCCGGGAAACCCTGTTAGTCCACGAAGCCGCTCGCAATGGCCTCCACTCCCCAGCCACCCCCTCGCCGCTAGTTTGCACCTTATATTGAAATTTTGTATACTTGCTGCTAATTTTTCTGTGAAACAACCACCTCTAAACAGAGAATTGGTTCACTTCTGTTGTTTATATACTCTATTCTTACAGGGAAGAACTGTAATCTTTAACTGAGAACTAGGAGTGAACTTTTAAAATTCTAAATAAGTGTTTATTAAAGGCTAACTGAAATTCTTATATAGATGCTGTGGGCGGGTAGGGAAGCAAAAGGGGCAGAGGGGAACCGGTGCGCGCTGTCCCGCTCGTGTAAGGAGGTAAGGGGAAATCCTGGGCTTGCCTCATTGTGCCAGGAAACCCCGTTAGTCCACGAAGCTGCTCGCAATGCCCTCCACTCCCCAGCCGCCCCCTCGCCGCCGCCCCTACGCCGCCGCCTCCGGTAAGCGTCCTTTGGTGTGGGAGGGAAACCAAGAAGAGGAGGGGAACTGGGCACGTTCTCCTACTCGTATAGCGAAATTCCCCAATAGGAAACACTGTTTTGCGAAGCGCAATGGCGGTCGCAAAACCTCATCGTTATATGAATTCATCGTTTTGCGAGGCCATCGTCTTGCGAGGCACCACTGTATTGTGCACTTATTATCAAACAACCATAAAGTATTATACTTACCTTGAAAAGGAGTGTGTACCCTTACTTTTTTTTAATTCCTCAATTACAAACAAAGGGTTTTTGACAAAAAAGTAGGAATCTGATGGCACTAGCTGTTATTGGAACAGCATGGGATAGAAAGTGGCAGACTTTTGCCCACCTTTCGGGCATATTTTAGTAGAAATAAGACTAGGTCACTTTTGATTCTATGGCTAACTATGACTTTGTCTGCAACAATGTTTTCTCAGTGTTCTGAAGTTTGACCCCTTGTCGGGGATAGTTTAATGGAAATAAGACAAAACTACTTAGTCTTGCTAGTTTTACTAAAGGATGCAAAAGAAGACTAGATTACTTGGTGCTGTGAGGAACATATGTAATTTCTGCATAGTAGGATTTCTGGTTGTGTTAGATAGCTTTAGTCCAAACAATAGCCAAAAGACCAGTGTAGGTATTAGGTTCAAAACCTTTGGTAATTGTTAAAACTTTGTTGTAGAGCTAAAAGAGAACGGGAATTGCAAAGTTTGAAAAAACAGAAAGAAGAGGAGAGCCTCCGCCAGCACCTGCAGCTTCAGAGGCAGAGAGCAATCAGACAGTTTCATGAACGACAGCTTACACTGTTGGAAATAGTTCATGCAGGTATGGACATTATAGTTCTAGGAATAAATTGTTATTTTTATTTTATATAGATGTCGATGTCCATTCTCTCTTTTTGTGAAATGTTCACTTGAAAACGTCTATCTTTACTCCATTTCCTAATGGCTAGTGCTCTAGAAAAGCTTTTCTTTAAACGTCCAAAAAACAATTTGACATGCTTCACTTTGAGGGCAATGGGAGGTATGTCATAACCTGTAGCTAGAAACAGCTGTAAACATACAATTCAGTGTTGACCTGTTAAATATGCAAAGTCATGGAGTGTGCTTGTATGTTATTTGGCATCCAAGGCTCTTCTTGAGATGTGATTGTGAACAAGCCTTGGGTTTGCATACTTCCTCATCCACTTATTCCATGTCTCCTTCACTTATGGAGAGGTGGTAACAAGTGTGACCAAGACAATCTTGACATCTAAGTCTGGGCAACTCGTTAAGTTCACCTGCACATTTCATTGCACGCTTCTGCTCTAATAGATGGCACTATTTTTGACCTATTTTAGAAATGTAGATCTGTATATTGAAAATTACAGAATAATTAGCATAGAGGAGGTACATATGGACAGTTTTGTGTAATTTAGTATAGAATATAATTGGTGTAGCAGCTGGATATGATGCATCACAGACCTCTCTGGCTGATGAACAACCATGCAAAAGGAAATTTCAACTAGTGGATGTTATAAGTCGTTTCTTTTGTGCAGGATAAAACCCAAATAAATTCTGCTTGCATGGTCACAGGTTTTCTAATAATACAGCTACATATTTTATCTCTTAGGTCAGGTAGATAAGCATATGCATGAAATGGAGGTGAGGGCAGCTCTGACTGTTCAGAGATACTGGAGAGCATTTAAGGCAAGGAAAAATTTTCATCAGCAGAAAAAATCTCTTCAGCAATATAAAGCAGCTGTTGTCCTTCAGAGAGTGGTAAGTATGCAAATCAAGTAGTACCATGCAATCAGTATTCTCAGTTAGTGTAATAATCAACTTAATTAACTTTGTCTGTGTGTGTACACAATTCATAATCTCCAATGCAGTTTACTTTAAGAACTGCTTATGAATTAATTGATTATTAGGCTTCAGGATCTTCATGGAAACCATGCAACTTGCAAAAGTCCAAATATCCCTTCAAAGGTAGTGTTAGAAAAAGCAGTATCCAGTGAGTTAAAACTGTACAGATGGAGCATTTCTGTCTATCCTGGGAATAGAATCTTATTTATTATTATTATTTGGAATCTTTTTTACGAGTATATTAAATCAGTCTTTAATTCAGTGTTGCTTTGGGGGCCAAGATTGTTAGATACTGCTCTTACAAAACCATACTCAAGAAATAATTCTTATGCATTTGCTTCCTTGTCGGATTATTACAATGGTCTGACTTGTACAAATGCATCAGAGAATACGATGCTGAATTACATGGGCCCTCTAATCAGATCCTGCAATCCTGTGCTTGTTTTTTGATCAGCTATGGGGTTTTCCATTCAGTCTGAAGGATGGAACTTCCTTTTCAGTAGAAAAAACAAAAGCAAGGTGGAAAATTGTATTAGGAAAATCAGTATTCATTCTTCACATTTAATATTTAGAAACAGACCTGCATCAAAACTTGGTTGTTTATTTTCTTGTTCCGGCATGGAGCTCTGAGCTGAGACTTTCGGTGTTGTTTAAACAATGTACATAGGGAAAATGTTGTAAGATGTGTTGTTTTAATTGGGTTGCAGAGGTTGCATTTGTGAAACAGAATATATTTTTCTTGCATGATTTCCCAGGCTTATCACAAAGCTTTTCAAGGAACTCTCTTGAAGAAAACAAAACAAACAGAATTAAAAACTGTTGTCACCATGTGTTTCCCCCAGGTGCTTAAATTCTTGGAAAAGCGAAGAAAAAAGAAGGTTTATTCTCTTTGGAAACAGCCCCCATCGCTCTCTGATGAAAAGAGATTAGTACTGCAGAAAAAAGTGGATGACTATACCAAATTTCATCCGGTACATCATCATCATCATCTGTCATTATCGCTACAACAGTTTGATGTAGAGGCTTTTGGGCGTGCATGCAGTTTACACTTAACATTGCCTGGATCTGTATGTTATAGATATTCTCCTGTATGGACTGAGTATAGCCTAAACCAGGTGTTCTTGGCCCTTTTTTTGGCCACAGCCCTTTTAGGAGCTCTTCTCAGGTTCCAGGGGCCCCAGTCAAACAAGGACACAACACAAACAGATATCTTTCAGAAACCTCTCACATTTTAAAGTCTGCAGTCCCCTTCAAATGTGCCAGGGCTGCCACTGAGAATAGCTGGCCCAAACATGTGGTTCTTAACCTTTGGTTCTCTACATATTTGGGGCTCTTTTCCAAGAATTCATGGCTATTCATAGAACATCCAGTAGGCTAGAGATTGAGAACTAAATTATTTCCAGTCTTTTTCTGCCACTGCACATTGCAAGGGAGTATTGGGACTAGTGAAGAATACTCAGGCTCTTTTCTGGGTTGATTTGCCTGCTATTGTTATTATCACTGAGTTTACATGTTACAAGTCTAAAAACCTCTGGCTCATTATGAATGAAGGCATCGTGTTGGTGTTTGTTCACTCCTCCTATAAGTGGAGAAGCTCATAAACCATCAACCCTCCAACCATGGTATGCTTATCCTGATGTCTAAATCTGAGAATGTAGCCTGTGTCTTCTTAGACATGCCAGAAGAATAAACTAGCAACAATATATGGGCGATTCCTCAGGATTTTCAAGGGAAGGACAAATCCAAATGCTGGTTTGAATGTTGTGAGAAGTATGCCATAGACAGAAGATCCATGGGTTTTTAACTGTTCCTGCTTGTAGCAGGATTGACTGCACAGCATGCTTTATTCCAGTGCCTTTATACACAGTATGTCAGAGTTCTTAGAATTATAACAACTAAGCACACCTAGCTAAAGAGCAGCAGTGACAGATAAAGTTTCTCCTAAGGTGGCTTGAATAATCTTCTCTGGTACCAATCTTGTTGCAACAATTATTAGGCAGCATGTTGCTCATAAATGATATGCCAGACTTACCCTGTATCCTTAGCTTATTGGGTGTAAACCCAACCACTGAAGAAACCATTCTAAGCTTCTGAGGAATTCAAGCTACATAGGAAGACAGTTTGAAAACCAGTGCTGTCTAGTGGTTCACCTTTACACTACTTTGGCACTAGCTCTCACACAGCATCAACAGCTTGTTTATGGTACAAACACTAGCGGGATAGAGGCCCAGTTCATCCCTATTCGAACTGAAATTGTTCTAAGATCACGTACAAGTAGTGAAATTCATTAGTCTGGTTACAAAACAGTTTATGGTTTAATCTGTTTCATTTCCAAGGTAAAATTTTAAAAAGTGTTCTTGAAATGGTAGGGCATCCTTGTCCATGTTCTGTCAGATATACTGCTGCCCAGGAGAGTTGTGTTTGCTTTCGGTGCAAGTGTGCTACTAGGAGCTAGTTTCATCTTTTCCTAGGAACTTTTGTTTTAGACTATAACGCTAGTTGGGCAGAGCACCATAGCAGGAGAGAAGAAATGGATGGGTACCCCAAGTAATGATGGCTTAACAATCTTGCATCTGTGTTTTGAAAAGAAATAACCAATAAGCGGCCTTTATTAGAGTTCTATAGCCTTTACCTAATATAACAGATCCAAAATGCATAAATACGTATGGATTATATAAACTCAGAAAATGTCATTAATATAGTATTCACTCTTTATTTGGCCTAAGAATAAGATATTGGGGGTCGCTTGGGGCCTTTTTCACCATTAAGAAATATGAATTTGTTCCTCCTGAATCCTAATTAGAAAACTAAATTTATTCAGTGATGGATCGATGACTGCAGGGAGAAAACACAGGAAGAGGCATAGTTATTAGATTTACAAGTGCCCAAGGAATGCAAATGTTCTGTTGCAGGCATCCACTAAGATTTGAAGCTGATAACGGCTAACAATGACAGGCACCATCATTTTTCCCCAGGCTTCTGAGATGTCAGAAGAAATGAGCAGAGAACTTCATCACCAAGCTCAGACAAAGCTGGCCCAGTATTTGCTGAAGAGAAACCAGGGCCGCAAAGCAGAGCAGCATAGAAAAGCTTTGCTAGCCCAAGTCCGCACAGATGTGGATCACCTGATGTGTAGGTGTAAAATCCCTTGTTTCCCAGTCTTATTCAAATCTTCACCTTTTATTTCTACTGTAATGAAAATTAATGTTAGCATTGATTTAAGCTCATAACTGTTACTTCTCTAAGCCTGAGATCATCTTCAGAAGTCATCATTGGCTGTGTGATTGTGAATCAAGTATCCTTTGGGTATCACAGCTGTTTTAGTTGTGCTCCTCTTTAGACCTGCACCACAATGGTATATTATTTTATTATTGAAATTATTTTTAACCCGTCTTTTCTCCTTAAAGAATACAAGGTGACTTACATCAATTTGGTCTTGCAGAATGTCTGCAGAAAATGGACATCTTACGATTTTGTCACCTGCAGGATATTTAACATTAGCATCCCCAGATTTCAGAATCTCTGCATAAAATCTTTTTTCCTACTTAAAGGAAACATTTGGGACAAAATGTGCCCCAATAAATCCCTGACAGGCTATTTTGTTGTCCCAGCTAATATAATGTATTAGGACCAACAAAATAATTTTAAAAATGTTTTGCTGCTGTTGTTTGAACTATGATGTGGCAAAGCAGAAATTATGTACTCTAGTTAATCACTAGAGTGGCCTCATGTGGGAGAAGTCAAGTATTTATTTTAGTGAGAAAATATCTCAAAATACAATTTTATATTTTATCTGATCTTACTTTAATTCTGTTGTATGCTTTCTGACACTGGGTTTTCAGATGCAACACACTTGCTTCTAAACACAGAAATACTATTTTGATATGGGGCATTTTTATATTCTATATTAGAGTTCTTACTAGTATCAGGATATGCCATACAATTCAAACCATGCAAGATTCTTGATCTTACCATAAAAACCATATAGCATATGAAGAGCTATTCCGTGTCAGATCGGGTACAAAGTCACTGAATCTGGATATAATCAACTTAGGCTCTCAAGGAAAACAAATATATGGGGAAAAATTCTTTCTCTTACCACAGGTGCTCCAGGTCTTGCAAGTTCTACCATGAAAGATCTGACTGTTTTTATGAGTAGATCTGTTCCTGTAGCAGTCAAAGCCAAGCAGTGCCACAATACTATGCTAAAATATACCAGATCACCTTGGTGGAAGAAACTAGAAGGGGACTTAGTTGATGAAGAAATTGTCTCTGAAGATCTTCTGAGTGCTGAATTGGGAACTTTGTTCATTGGTGGAAGTAAAGCATAATTGAGAGGCATAATTAAAATGGCTAGCTAATAGCTGTGTAATTGTGCATTTTATCATCTGAGATTGTGTTCTAGTAGGCAGTTTTTCCAATGCTGGTTAAACACGATATTTCATTTTATTATTAAGAAAATGTCCTAATACGTGTAAAGAAACAAATCATATAGCTGGTATTCTTTCAATTGGTAAGAAACAGACCCAACAAAAGAGGACAAGTTGCACTGTATGTAAAGAATTACTACTACTGTACTGTAATACAGAAGACCAACGATGAAAGCCTTCCTGAAGCTGTTTGGCTGAATATTAGGGGAAAACGAATTACATAGCTGTTTTCATGTACTACAGACCACCTAACCAAGCAGAGGAAATAGATGAACATTTTGCAAATCAATTAGCTGAAATGTGTAGGAAATACACCACTGTAGTAATGGGGAACTGTATCTACATGGATATAGAAACCAACTCTGCAGCTAGTGGGAGATCCAACAGATTCCTGACATGCCTGGCTGACTAATCATCCAAAAGGTTGCAGGAGGGAACTAGAGGATCAGCCATACTGGACCTAATACTAATAGGGTGGAAATAGTTGAGGGAGTGGAAATTGTAGAAACTTTAGGAGAAAGCGACCATGTGATATTAGAACTCATCATGCAGGCAAGGGTAACTGTACCAAGTCAGACTAATGTTCTAGATTTTAAGAGAGCTGACTTTAACAAACTAAGAGATGTAATAGGAGGGATTCCATGGATGGAAATCGTGAAGGGAAAAACAGTTCAGGATGGTTGGGAAACCCTAGATAATAAAGGCCCAAACCAAAACAATACCACAGAGAAAGGAAAAGAGGAAATGTCAGACAAGACTAGCTGGATGCTCACAGAGCGCTCTGACAAGCTAAGGGGCAAAAAGGATAAGTATAAAAAACTGAAAAAGGAGCTCATAACTAGAACAGAATACCAGCAAATAGCTTGAATCTGCAAGGATGGAGTCAGGAAGGCTAAGGCTCAGAATGAGCTAAAACTTTCAACAAATGGCAAAAATAACAAAAAAAGGTTTCAACACGTAAGACACAGGAGGAAAGCCAAGGAAATGGTTGGTCCACTAGTGGGAGAAGATGACAAGAAGGTGACAGGCAACAGGGAGAAAGTGGAACTTCTTCGGGTTTGTTTTGTTTTTGTTTTTTGCACCAATTGACACAAAAGGAAAAATTGGTCCACCCTGTCAAAAGCAGCACTGTAGGAGACGAGAGGGAAGCAGATCAAAATAGCTAAGGAAGTGGCAAAAGAACACCTAGCTGCTTTGAATGAGTTCAGGTTTCCTGGACTGGGTGGTTTACATCCCAGGATACTAAAAGAACTGGCAGATGTGATCTCGGAACCACTGAATGAAATCTTTGAGAGACCCTGGAGCACGGCAAACTGCCAGAGGACTGGAAAAGAACTGATGTGATTCCAGTCTTCAAAAAGGGGGAAGGAGTGTATCCAGGAAACTACAGACCAATCAGCTTGACATCAATACCTGGGCAAATCCTGGAAAAAAAATAAGCAAGCAGCAGATTTGTGAGCACCTAGAATATAATGTGATTTACTAGAAGCCAGCATAGTTTTTTTATGAACACATCATGCCAAACACCTCTTATTGCCTTCTTTGATAAAGTGGCTAAATTAGTGGACCAAGGAAACACAGTGGGTGTAGTATATTTAGACTTCAGTAAAGCAGTTGATAAGTTAGACCACAGCCTACTTCTGCATAAGATAGAACAAAGTGAGATAGACAGCGCAACTACTAGATGGATTTGCAGCTGGCTGACCAACCACACAAAACATGTGGTCCTCAATAGAACCATATCTACATGGAGGTAAGTGTGCAGTGGGTTCCCTCAAGGTTCTGTCTTGGGCCCAGTGCTCTTCAACACCTTCATAAATGACCTGGATGAGGGGATTGAAGGAACACTCATCAAATTTGCTGATGACACAAAGCTGGGGGGAATTGCTAATACTTTGGAAGATAGACTCAACATTTAGAAGGATCTAGACAGACTTGAACATTGGGCCCTGTGGCAACCCCAGACCTACTGGAGTATCCCACCCTGTAATTATGCTGCCACCAACCATTCCCTGTAAGGAGTCACACAGACCAGGAATGGATTTTAATAAATAAAAGAACAAGGTTTATTGAAACAACAAACAGGGTAAATAAAAGGATCAGGTAAATAGGAAACTGGAACGTGGCATAGTCCTAATCATATACATACAACAGTGTGACAAGGTTCATCTTTGGCCGGGGGGGTTGGGTTGTAAAGGCGGGAAACAGGCGCGGAGGCGAGTTCGAGTCTTGAGAAATAACAACTTTATTCGCGTGTACACTTAACTCCACTGGATCGAACGGATCCTTCAAAACTTCATCGGTTAACAACGTATACTTCTTAGGTCTAACAACTGGAGGTCCTGTCTCCTCATCTACCAAGGGGCCGGGCCAAACCGCTCGCG